CTAAGTAGTAAGGAGACGGAACGCTAAGTCTCCCCCGCTCACAGGTCGCAATATCACGATAAGCAATTGCCTCATCACGCTCAGTTGTTAGATCGTCAATCTTACTAAGGAGTATTACGACCTCCTCTCTTAAATCCTGATTCTCTTACTCCAGTCGTCGGTACTAGCGAGCAAGTTCTTAGAATCTCTCCTTTAAAGGAGTCTTCCGAAGTTATTCGCGCATAGAGGACGATCCCTCTCTAGCGTTATTATCATCATTCGTCTCACCAGTATCAACTAGTCTCGGCATTTCGGTATATAGGGTTCGGGGTTCGGATACATCGACCACCCGGTCGATCTCTTCTTCTTCCGGCATAGTAGCGAGCGGCTGCTTACCACGGTTCGTCGGGTTCCGGCGGGTCTCGACCATTATGACTGGTCAGATAGGATTCGGTTCGGTTCGGAGGATCGGTCTTAGCTATACGATGCCAAGGAACGGAGAGTGGGTAAGCTTTGACCGAGATCCACCACAATAGGGATCTGTACGGTCTTCTGCTTATTAAAAATTGAAAAGGTACTTAATGTTATGTTACCAGCCAGTTCTTTAACAAAAAGAGTGCATTTAACTAGAACATTAAGTATAGGGAGGAAAAAGAAAAGAGAAGAAAAGAATCTATCAACAGGACCAAAAGACATTGTGGGGTGGGTCCTGGGTCGAAGGCGGAAACAATCAGCAGAAATCTCTGCAAGGCGGAAACACACGGCAGAACCAACTGACTCGTCCAAAGGCGGAGTCAGTCAGCAGAAAACTCTGCAGATCGTCACAGATAATCCTTAGATTATCTATTAAAAAATAGAGAGGAATAATAAATATATTACTAATAAAGACTAAGCTAATTAGTTATAATATACTTATTATATATTAATTAAATAATAAAAAACCTATATATCTTATTACTAAAGAATATATATAAAATATATCTAAATATAGATATAATTAATAATATTAAAGTAAAGGATTATAGATAGATTAAAATAGATTTAAATTATTTATATACTAATTTTTTAGATTATTTATAAATTACCAGCTACCCGTAAGCGACCACTAGGGGTGGATACGCATACGGGTGATATTTTGCTGAGCTTAGCAGAAGCAAAAGGATTTAGCTTTCAAGAAGGCTTAAGAAGATACCTATAGCTAGGTCTATATAGGGATATAGGCGATAAAGAGTAGTAGGGGAATTTAACCTCCTCCCACCCCCCACCCCTAAGGGGGTGGGGGGTAGGGGAAGAATTATAATACTTGACTAAGATATTAGTCCTAGAGAGAGAGTATTAGCTATATAGGCAGCTGCTAAGCTAGCTAGTAGCTAGATTAGTAGCTAGTAGCTAGATTAGGAGCTAGGAGCTAGGTTAGGAGCTAGGAGCTAGGTTAGGAGCTAGGAGCTAGGTTAGTAGCTAGGAGCTAGGTTAGTAGCTAGGAGCTAGGTTAGTAGCTAGGAGCTAGGTTAGTAGCTAGGAGCTAGGTTAGTAGCTAGGAGCTAGGTTAGTAGCTAGGAGCTAGGTTAGGAGCTAGGAGCTAGGTTAGGAGCTAGGAGCTAGGTTAGTAGCTAGGAGCTAGGTTAGTAGCTAGGAGCTAGGTTAGTAGCTAGGAGCTAGGTTAGTAGCTAGGTTAGTATCTAGTAGGTAGTTTACTATCTAGGCTACTATCTAGCTTAGCAGCTAGTTTAGTAGCTAGTTTAGTAGCTAGCTTAGTAGGTAGTTTATAGCTAGCTTAGTATCTAGTAGGTAGTTTACTATCTAGGCTACTATCTAGCTTAGCAGCTAGCTTAGCAGCTAGCTTAGCAGCTAGTTTAGCAGCTAGTTTAGTATCTAGTTTAGTAGCTAGGTTAGTAGCTAGTTTAGTAGCTAGCTTAGTATCTAGTTTAGTAGCTAGCTTAGTAGCTAGTTTAGTAGCTAGGTTAGTAGCTAGGTTAGTAGCTAGGTTAGTAGGTAGCTTAGTAGGTAGTTTATAGCTAGCTTAGTATCTAGTAGGTAGTTTACTATCTAGGCTACTATCTAGCTTAGCAGCTAGCTTAGCAGCTAGTTTAGTAGCTAGCTTAGCAGCTAGTTTAGCAGCTAGCTTAATAGGTAGTTTAGTAGCTAGCTTAGCAGCTAGCTTAGTATCTAGTAGGTAAGTTTACTATCTAGGCTACTATCTAGCTTAGCAGCTAGTTTAGTAGCTAGCTTAGTAGGTAGTTTATAGCTAGCTTAGTATCTAGTAGGTAGTTTACTATCTAGGCTACTATCTAGCTTAGCAGCTAGCTTAGCAGCTAGTTTAGCAGCTAGTTTAGTATCTAGTTTAGTAGCTAGGTTAGTAGCTAGTTTAGTAGCTAGCTTAGTATCTAGTTTAGTAGCTAGCTTAGTAGCTAGTTTAGTAGCTAGGTTAGTAGCTAGGTTAGTAGCTAGGTTAGTAGGTAGCTTAGTAGGTAGTTTATAGCTAGCTTAGTATCTAGTAGGTAGTTTACTATCTAGGCTACTATCTAGCTTAGCAGCTAGCTTAGCAGCTAGTTTAGTAGCTAGCTTAGCAGCTAGTTTAGCAGCTAGCTTAATAGGTAGTTTAGTAGCTAGCTTAGCAGCTAGCTTAGTATCTAGTAGGTAAGTTTACTATCTAGGCTACTATCTAGCTTAGCAGCTAGTTTAGTAGCTAGCTTAGTAGGTAGTTTATAGCTAGCTTAGTATCTAGTAGGTAGTTTACTATCTAGGCTACTATTTAGCTTAGTAGCTAGTTTAGCAGCTAGCTTAGTAGCTAGATTACCCGCTTGATTAATAGCTAGTTAGTAGGTAGATTAGTAGTTTAGTTAGAATACTATCTAGACTATTATATAGCTAAGGTAGTCTATAATCTAATCTAATCTAGATTCTAGATCGAGTATCTAATCTAAATAATTTACTAATCGATCTAATCTAATTTAGTATCTAATCTAATCTAGATTTTACTATCGAGTATCTAATCTAATTGATCTAGATCTAATCCGGTATAGATTAGATATATCCCGGGATCACGTAATATAGCTAGTTAGTGCCTTAGGCTACTGATTATATAGTGATCACGTGATCGCCGCCTAATCCGGCGTAGATTAAATATATCCCGGGATTACGTGATATAGCTAGTTAGTGCCTTAGGCTACTAATTATATAGTGATTACGTGATCGCCGCCTAATCCGGCGTGGATTAGATATATCCCGGGATCACGTGATATAGCTAGTTAGTGCCTTAGGCTACTGATTATATAGTGATTACGTAATTACCGCCTAATCCGGCGTAGATCGGTGTATATCACGTGATTATAGGGTACTTACGTGATTACCGCCTAATCCGGCGTAGATCGGTGTATATCACGTGATTATAGGGTACTCACGTGATTACCGCCTAATCCGGCGTAGATCGGTGTATATCACGTGATTATAGGGTACTCACGTGATCACCGCCTAATCCGGCGTAGATCGGTATATATCACGTGATTATAGGGTACTTACGTGATCACCGCCTAATCCGGCGTAGATCGGTATATATCACGTGATTATAGGGTACTTACGTGATCACCGCCTAATCCGGCGTGGATCGGTATATATCACGTGATCACCGCCTAATCCGGCGTGGATCGGTGTATATCACGTGATTATAGGGCACTTACGTGATCACTGCCTAATCTAGTATGGATCGGTATATATCACGTGATTATAGGGTACTCACGTGATCACCGCCTAATCCGGCGTAGATCGGTATATATCACGTGATTATAGGGTACTCACGTGATCACCGCCTAATCCGGTATAGATTAGATATATCCCGGGATCACGTGATATAGCTAGTTAGTGCCTTAGGCTACTGATTATATAGTGATTACGTGATCACCGCCTAATCCGGCGTAGATCGGTATATATCACGTGATTATAGGGTACTTACGTGATCACCGCCTAATCCGGCGTGGATCGGTGTATATCACGTGATTATAGGGCACTCACGTGATCACCGCCTAATCTAGTATGGATCGGTGTATATCACGTGATTATAGGGTGCTTACGTGATCGCCGCCTAATCCCAAGTGGATCGGTGTATTTCACGTGATCTATATATATATATCACGTGCTTTATTAGGCACCAAGGTGTCTATATCTTAAAGTCGAATCACGTGACTAACCCTACCCTGATCACATGAGGAGTGAATTCTACAGCCAATCAGAGGCCAGGATCTCAGAATTCGCAAGGCGGGTTTTTTGGCATAGTCTGTTGGGTATATTGCCTGTATTATTTGCTTCGCTTACGCTCAGCAAAATTAAATTAGATCTAAATTTATAAAAAAGATTTTAAAACTAAATTAACCTATCTTAGAGAAATAAGATAAGAAAGATAAATAACCTTTTATAAAGATATAAGATATAAAGAAAATCTTATAATCTATATATAAAGAGCTAGAAAAGAAGTATAGAAAGGATAAAAAATCTTTATTTATATATAAATATTACCCCTAAACAAAAAGCATTTGTATAGAGGCGGCCATTTCTGGCCTCAAAGGGGGCCGAAAGTGGCCGCCTCGGCATAGTTCTTCCGCACACGCACTTTTAGTCCTAGAGCCACGCGCTCCTCGCCTCCCTCTTATAACGCGCACCGTCACGTTCTTGTTCGGTCATGTCGGTGCCTAGGCGCGTGGCTCCCCTTCCCCTGCCCTCGAGCCCCGCTCCTGCTTTCTATCGACTTCTACCTACCTCCGGGCCTACTCCTTAAGCGCTACCATGACACCTTTGTTTTATAAGGTCGCTAAAAATAGCACACTCTATCCTAGGCTTATTGGTCGCTAGAGAAATAGGGTCTATAGCTATAAAGCCGCTAATAGTCCCTCCTTATTCTCCTACCTAGCCCTCTTCTTATCTATCCTTTACTAGTCCCTTCTTTAACGCGCGCTTTATAGTCGTTCGTTATCCCCGTTAATTTGTCTACCTACCTAGAGCGGCTTCGCGTATATCTTTATTTCCCTAGACGTAGTATAAGCGATATTGTAGATCTATCCTCTACGACCGATAGTAATACTTCCGGGGTGTCTTTCTAGCCTAATATCGATACGACCGATAACTCCGATTCTAGGGAAGCCTTAAATTCAACCGAGCTAATAACTCCGGAACCTACCTATCTTCCTAATACTCGTAGTAGGCCTTCTACCCGTCTAAAACGACCCGTACCCTATCTAGCGGACGCTAGTATTCTACCCGATCTTAATAATAACCCGGATAATAATATAGACGAGGATATTATAAACATACTACTTAATTATAGGCGCTTAGAATAAACTAAGGTTCGGGGTCGACGAATAGAAAAGCGCTAGGATAAGTAAGTATTTATTTAAACCTATATAATAAGGAGGTAATTACTAATATAAGGCGTAGGTATTACTAAGTTAAGGCTACTTAGGCTAGTACGCTATTAAAATAGGATAACCTAGTAGAGGCACTACGCGAGGTTACTCCTAATAACGTATATCGTTTTTTTAACTACTATATAAAGCTAAAGTATAGTGAAGGCGGTCGTTATCTAAAGGGAATATCGAAAGCGAGCGCCCTAAAAGCTAATTAGAAAGGATTTCGGGATTATTATCGAAGAATTATACGGACTAGAATAACGGCCGAAGATAGCGAAGAGATCAATATAATAAGTTATTCCTCTTAGTCTAACGCTCGGAGCTAACTAGGTTCTAGGGCATTCGGAAACTTATCGATAAATTCGATCTCGATATATAAGAACGGGGTAAGGAGCCGGTATACATCCAAGACTTAACTAAATTAAACGAGACGATTCTCCGAACTTAGGAAAGACGATTTTATTTTAGATATAAGCGAATCTAGCTCTATCTCTTTAATATACTCGGTATTTATACCGTAAACCGTCTATATACTCTTCTTTCGCTATAATTCCACTATCTACGTTTCTCTATATAAGATAATCCGGACGGGGGCCCTCCTATACTTTTAGTAGAGATTAAATTAGAGTATATAAAGCGATTCCTTAGAACTTCCTAAATATATATATCGTATATTAAACCTAGGAATAATAATCCTAATATTAATACTACTTAGTAACAATTTTCCTTTCCCTAAAATCATTAACGATCCGTCGCTTATCTTCAGCCCTTATATATTTATATTCGGTATACTTCTTTAGCTCTAAGCCTTCGAAGTCCCTACGCTTTCCTCTATAGAGCGCCTTCGAAAGCTATTTATTTAAGATAGCCGATAATAGATAGAACTACCTTTAAAGCGCGAAGTCGAAGGCTATTATATCTTCTATAAGATAGAAGTAATTAATAGACGTACAGTTTTTTAATAGAACTAGCCGATAACCGATAGCGCTATATCTAGGCGTCTAAGAAATCTAGGGGAGATCTACGGCCTCCTTTAGTTAATATTCGCCTATCGTTTTCGCTATAGAGGGGGAAAGATATTAAATAAAAGTAGCGCGGTTAGCGAAGTATAGTAAAATCTAATCATAAAACACGCTAATACTTACATTTTCTTAAATCATTATCTTCCACGATATATCGACACTAATATATAGAACGTTATAAACGGCCGCGAATCTAATAAGTCTCTAATACGCGCTATCACCCGGATAAGTAGGTAGATTAATAAGAGACGCCCTCGATACCTTACTTCGGAGTAATAAGCGTCCCTTTATAAATATCTAGAATATATCGAGGCTACTCGGTAAATAAAGGAGTAAGCTAAGGAGTATAAATATAATCCTAGTATAGCGATATAATCGCGATTAGAGAAATTAATACGCGAAACCTCTAATATATTCGGCCGGTTAGAAAGAGTACTAAGACGGAAGGTACGCTATAAGTTCGACCGTAAATAGGCTATTATAGATATTAAGCGATAGCTCTTAGGGGCTACTATTAATAACAAAGAGGCGAAGAAGGTACTTTAAGTAGAAGACTAGATACTACTAGAGTAGATTAATCTTCTTAAGAAATTATTCATATAGCCTACCTCTTAATCCCTAGAAGCGGAGTAGTAAAGAAGGAACGCTGCCGTAGCTACGATCTCCCGATACTATAGTTTCCTTAAAGGTAGGCTATTATATAGGCGACGTAAACGGGCTATACCAAGTAACGGGTTCGATAAAGAATAGACTAGCGTATTACTAGAGCTAGCTAAGAAGAGTTATAGCTCTCCGGAGCCTTCGTAGTAGGATATTCTTCTTATAAATACTAAAAATTATATTAAAAAGGCTAAGAAGCCCCGCCGATATTTTTAATATTATAGCGATACCGAACTTCCTATTTATCGCCGTACGTAGAAATATAGTAAATATAAGTCGACTCTACGATACTTTCGAGAGAAGTACTTATATAATCGAAGATATTATATATATAACGAAGATCTACTATATAAGATATATCTTCGTAAGTATATAGAAGAGGTTTATCGCCTTAGCACTAAACAAAATTACTACGCTAAGAAAGATACAAAAGAAGATACGGGATCAGATATTAATACCGATTAATTAGGAGGCTTATAGGTTTTCGGTCAAATTTAAGAACTCTATCCTTTTTTCTTTACTTAGCTGTTTCTACTCTTCAAGTAAACATCCACGCTCCCGTCTTTAGTAGTAGTCTAGCCCTCCTATATAGCTCTATATAATAGTAATATACCATAAACGCTAGTAAGTTATACGTTACGCTTATAAGCTAGTAGCTCTAGGAACTAACTAAAGTTCCCCGGAACGAAGTATTATTCCTAGGGGCTTTAAGGTTAATTCTTAGGAGCTTAGGCGTATCGGGGCCTAATATTAATAAATAATATAATATAGCTAATAGTTACTTAGGAGGTCGACTAGAAGTATAATATCAAAGTTACTATCCACGACATATATATATATCATCCCTAATATACCCCCGTAGAATTCTATAACACGATCCCTATACCTCCCGGGAAGTATTACGTTAATTCCTAGAGGACGTTTAGCTCCTAGAAGCCGATAGTATAACTAGAAGCGATAATTAAAAATAAACGTTAAAGTTTTCCTAGAGTATAATCCTAGAGAAGGTTCCCCCGTTTAGTATACGCGGGCTAGCTTCCTAAGAGTATAAAGTTTATCTCTAGGAACACGGACCACCTCTCCTAGGAGCTATATTACTCCTAGAACCCTATATAAAGTTCCTAGAGGTAACCACTAGTCATCTTAGGATTAACGGAAGTAATTCTAGGATCGGTATTTTCCTTATTTTTCTAAACTAGGGTAATCCGTATCTCATTTTGCTATACATATACTAGCCCTAGGGACTCTTATCTATTATAGGGGCACTTTACTCGAGCCTAGGAACCTATAGTTTACCTCTAGGAAAGGCTTAAGCTTCTAGGAGTAGCGAAGCTCCTAGAGCTAGCCTATACGTCCCTAAAGTTAATAGGGCCTATATATAAAACTACCTCTCAAATTCCTTAATTCATCCTTAAAGGAAGTTAATCCTAGAGATAGCCCTAGTAGCTCTAGTAACGTATAAGCCGACCCTAGGAGCTTATAGACATATATATTAATAAATATAAACTCTTTTAATTCTCCGTTTCCGGGTGCTTTCCCTTATTATTCGGTCTTATAGTCCCTATATATAGCAAGCCGTTTCGTACCGCTAGGGAATACCTTAAAACTACTAAGCGGCTAGAGGCATACTTATAATACTTCGTAAGTAAAGGGCTTCCGGATAAGGTTAGCTTTTAGATATTTCACGATCCCGGGTATATTACGCGCTACTTTAATACTATTCATCTTAAAGAAAAACCCCTTAAATATAACTAGTATAAAGTAGGCTTACTATATCGAATAGCTTTCTAACGCTATACTTCTGATATATACCGCGTACGGAGTCGCTAGCTATACTCGAATCCGATATAGGGACTTTAAAAACAAAAATAGACCGGCCATAAATATACCCGACTCAGTACTTAACGTTTTATATATACTATTTTAGTTTTATATAATCTAATCGGGTTATATATATATATACGATAAATCACGCAAAGTAGTATCTAATCGTTTCTTAGTAGTAGCCCACTCGAGCTACTAGCTCTCTAGTATATAATAACCCTTATACCCTAACTCTAACTTAGTCAAACTTCTACTTTCCTCCTACCTAGTCAACCTAGTACTAGCTATCTCTTCTTTAAAGCCACGATAACCAGCCCTTTAAGCACGATTCTTATTAAAGATAACGAACTACCCCCGAGCTAGCGGTTAGGTAATTCATAGGCCTAAAGGACGTCTCCATATATATCTCTTAAGACCCTAATTAAACCAAACGATACTACGAGTAGTAGTATAGAACTATCCCGTAAACATAAAAGGGCTAAGAGAAAACAACCTAATACTCTAGTAGAACCTTCCCTCCTAAGACACTCCGATTTCCTAAGCTAATAATAGACTAGGATACCTATTTTAAGAGACTACGTAAGATATTTAACGAAAGAGATTAAGAAGTTAAAAAACTCGATTAGGAGGTTAAAAATCTCGAGTAAGAAGTTAAAAAGTAGTAAAAGTAAGTCTAGGAACTTTAAAGTAAGCTTCTCTAATAGGAAGACTAGTATTAAGAGGAGCTTTCCCGATAACGTATTCTAGACTATAAAATATACTATAAGTAGCCGGATTGTTAGTATATTCTACTATACGGGTATATAATTTATAAGATATACGCTAAACAACTTAATTAAAATATATACCCTTTTTATAGAGTAAGCTTTTCGGGGTTTATTAAATACTATCTATTTATAGAATAGATATATATATATTTTCTAATATAAGCTCGACGTATTTAGTAATTTAACTCGAAATCCTCTTTTATTAGCCTAGGAATAATTATAGTTTACGAATACTATAAAGTATATAGTATATAACTAAAGGATAGGATCGGGACCGTATTAGTCGTAAACGCTTAGATTATTTTCAATTTTCTTTCGATATTAACATCGTCTAATAGCTCAACCTTATCACTCTACTTCTTAAATTTAGTCCGAAATCGCCGGGTTATTCTATTATTTTTACAATTTTATAAGGTAGCTAGATAGAGTAGATAATCCGTATTTGTCTATTAGTATAGCGTACTAGATAACCGCGCACAAATCCTAACTTCCGGGCGATTTTAGAAAGAAGTCTTATTCTAAGGCAATAAAGGTATAATAATATTCGAAATCAGCTATACCTCCAAACTCTTTCATCTTAATTCGGAGAAACTAATTCCGATAGGCGCTAGGCCCGGTTAGTCTACCGCCTCGTAATTTTAGTAAAACTATTATCGTAATTATTATATTTCTTATAATAAGTTATTATCATAGTACCGTAATATTATAAGGAGCCACCTAGGATTATTCTATAGATTTAAATAATTCATAAGGCCGTCCCATACCCTTATACAGCCAATCTATATACAGCGTAGTAGATTTCCTTCTTTACTACTTTTAGAGGCTAACACATTTTTCCCGCTATTATTTTCGACGATATAATCCAATTCGTTACTATTACCCGATTCAACTAGACTATCACACTCTAGGTCCACACCGCTCCTTAGAGTAGTCTCTAGCAACATATACTACTCGCTAAAGATCAAATTGTTCTAACTACTTTATATTCTCTCGATACTTCATATCAGCTTTAAATTTCGAATTTCCAGGATTCTTAAGCAATAGTATCGCGTATAAATTTTTACTAATTTCCTAGGTAGGTATACCCTCGAATTTAGTACTTCTTATACTAATATTAATAAAGTACGTTTAAGGATTGCCTAATCTAGGTCATTATTAGCCCTTAAAAAACTATTTACTACGTTTATCCTATAGTCCTTTCGTTATATAGCTCGCTAGTATTAAAAGCTCGTACTAACGACTAGTAGATCAAGAATAGTACGAGTAGGACTATTAATTAGACGGAATTCGATAAGGAAACCATTAAATACGCTCTAAGCTTTCTATATATTAAGGATTATAACGTACGTAATCGAACATTTATTAGTATATAAATTGAGGAGAAAAACGACAATAATAAGATTAGTACATTCTATAGTCCCCTTTTAATTTAGTTCGCTGTTAACGACTATACCTTTTAGTATAAATAGCCTTCCTCTCTACCAAAGCGGGGTCATCGGTACCTAACTCCGAAATCTTAAACAAAGCGCTTTCGGAACGACCGCTAACGCCTTTGAGTCGGTGTTTATAAGTTAGTTTACTAGTAGAGAATATACAAACAGCCGCAGCAGCGTTTATAAAGGAACCTAGTACTTATAATAAGGGCCTTAGTAACATCGCTCTTATACACGCGAAGGTTTACTACTTTACGTACCAGTTTTTATTCTCTAGACTCGAGAATCTGGCTCTATAGCGCCTAACGTAGCTTCTTCTCAAATACAATACACTAACTGATCTATTCTTCCTAGGTCTTATAGATGCCATACGCCTCGTTTACGGTGCAACACTAAAATCGAAACCGAATGATCTAGCTCGGGAGTTACTTTCTCAATACGTAGCACTGAAATATACCATACTACTAGAGGAGACTATAAGAGCCTTGATAGTAGAAGGGGGTGATTTTATGATTGATGTCACCTACAAATTAGCAAGGAGGGTATCGATAAGTGGAACATCGACACAATCTTTGGAAGGTCTTGTTGATAAGCTTGAAATGACCGTTTCAAGGCTAGAGCAGCATACTAAGAATCAAACTTGTTTACTCAAGCGTGCAGAGGAAGAAATCCTGGAATGGGAGAGCTGGAACCGAGGGATTTCAGCAAAGCACAAGAAAGCGAAAAGGATGGTGGCACCGTTTGAATTCAGTGCGACTCATGAACATTCAGCTTAAGAATGGTTCTTACTGCCCGACAGCTCGAATCTGGGTATACAGTGTGTGTGTGTGTGTGTAATTCATTTACGCTGACCCCTCGTCGAAACGATATGCAGCCTACCGCTACTATATATATCTTCCTATATACATGTATCGTGTACCACTTCCTAAGCGAACTTGGAGCCTCGCCGAGGCCTGCCGTGGCCTCTATGCCGTCGTTGTGTTTATGCTGCCCTTATGGCGCGCGGCTTTGAAACCGTTGCGATGCTTCAGCAAAATCCAAGACAGCCTCTACTGTCTTGGTTCGTGATGTACTGTCAATCTTACCTCTTCCTTCTTCTCCTGGTCTACCTAATAGTGTCGATATGCTGTTGAAAGCATCGCCAACCTTAATTCGCAGCTCTCTCCTTAGTTCTCTCAATCGTGGGCAATCTAATAACACGTAGTAAACGCTTTCCCGTTCACCACAGACGTATATATCGTCGTCTCGAAATCGGAAAGTCTTTGCGTATGTTGACAACCAGCAGTGTCCGGTTCGCAACTACGTGAATAAGTACGCTCGATTTCTAGGCAGGGAGCCGTAGAGCCGTCTAGTATACTTAGCCGGTAGTATATCGTCGATCTGACGTAGATATACGCCGGTGCTCGAGCCGTTCTATTCGTTCTTCTATTAGGCGTAGATCCCTTGCCTAATATATACTCTCTCGCGTAATAGTAAATAGCAAAACGGGTGAGTTTTGCCCGGTATAGCTACCTCCTTAGCTAGTAAATCGGTAGCGTCGTTCCCTAGCACTTCGTAGTGTCCGGGTATCTATTATAGTCGTATCGACGTACTATAGGTCTTAGTATTCCTAGCTGCTTATAGAATGGTATGGATGATCTGTTATCCCGACTTATTCCCGGGATTCTAGATTGCTTACAGGGCCGACTTGCTGTCACTAAGGATAGTGGTAGATCCTACCTACGAGTAGGATGTTCTCTAGTATCGGAGAGCGACCTTATTAATAATATTAATAGCGTATAGGACCCTAATTAGCTCGGCGGTATATACCGACTACCGATCTATAGGTCCAACCTATACTTATATACTGTCGATTGTTTCTAGTAAGTTATTTAACGCGGCTACTATAACACCTAGATAGCCTTCTCTTCCCGAGGTATCCGAGTATACCACGATATCCGCGGTTGACTATACCGCCTTAGTCCTTTCTATCGCGATCTCCCTATCTAATTTAATCTCGATTTCCGAGAAGGCTTCTTTTCGCTAAAATAGTAGTAGGGTTGGATTAATCATTTCGATTTCCTATAGTCTCTCTAAGTTTATAGTTTTTAAGGCTTCTAATAGCGGGAACCGGGCGAACGATCTACGATTATTACGTCTTCTCTAGGCTCGATTTAGGGCGTTCTATATAGGATGTTTTTAGGGTAGGGTATACAGTCTAGTAATAGTATTCTATATACGGTAGCGTAGACGAAGGTACGTTAGTAGTATATATACCTCTACGTTAAGTATGGTTGTTACTATCGTTCGAAATATAGATAGGACGCGGATAAGCGCCGCTCGTTGTACGGTATAGAGGTATCGTAGATAGGTCTTATCTCGAAGCGGATTATACTAGACAGTCGATACGTAGTCGACAACTAGTATAACGTACGCTTCGTAAAGCTATTATATTTGCTCTAGACGGAGTTATCGTAAGCCCCTAAGCGCGATATTGATCTTAGTAGCTCGTTTAACGGCTTATTATACGTATTCCTTCTACCGTAGCTTATAGTCGAAGATTATATCTAAGAGTTTAGCGGTCGTAGATGGTTTAATAGTATTACTATTTATAATAAGCTAGCCCTAGCTCTATTCTTTCCTCTTACAAGTAATATAAATGAGTTCGGTCTTCTCTACAGCGAAGTAGGACCTAGTTCGCCGGGCCTAGGCTTCGATCCGGGGTATATCTTCGGACTAGATTTTAGCTAGGCTCTCTTCAGCGCTCTAGCTAACTTACTAGCGGAAGTAGTTATCAATAAAGGCAGATGCCCTACTATAAAAATCGACCGGCTAGTCGACTAGGTCGTAGTTAAAGAACGTAAAGAGGATAGGTAAGAGTAGAGAGCCTTACGCGAGCCCGGCCTTATCTAGCGACGCTACCTCGGTCTAGTAGTCGTCGAACCTAATGCTCGCTTAGCGCCTACTTATAAAGCTCGCAATCCACTTCCGGGCTACCGATAGGATACCCTTAGACTAGAGGCGGACGTCTAGGCTTGTCTTATTTACCCTATTAAAGGCTCCCTTTAGGTCAAAGGCTACTAGTAAGACGACCTTCTATTTATACCACGCCCGGTCGATTGCGTTAGTAAGTATTAGGAGGGCTTACTCGGTTATTCGTCCCGGACGTCCTCCGAACTAAGTATCCGGTAGAAGACCGTAGTGCTCCGCGAAGAAGGATAGCCGCCGGGCCATTACCGCTTCTAATAACTTGCCGAGTATATTAAATAGCGAGATCGGGCGGTAAGCTCTAAGTAGCGAGTAGTCTGCTTTCCCGGGCTTCCGTAGGACTATAATTCGCGCGCTTCTCTATCGCCGTAGGTAGTATCCTAGTTCAATCGATAACGTGAAAATCCTTATAATGATATTTCCGAGATATTTCTAGAGACGTTTCTAGATTAACGTAGGTAGACCGTCCTCGCCTAGTACTGTTATGCCTTTAGTAGCCCTAAGAGATCGATAGATTTCAATCTCGGAGATTGGATACCACCGGATCTCGGTTAGGGCGTAGGCGGGTACTTCCTCTTACGTAGACGCTATAGATAAGAAAAACGAGTCCATAAACGCCTAAGCTTTCTCTACGTTATCAACTAGCTCTATATCGCCAACCTTAAGGGCGGGAATACAGCCCCAGGAGTCTCGTGGTTTCATATAAGTCGCTGCCTTCCATAATTTCCCTTCTCCTACTTCGTCTAGGAACTGTTTCCAATAGGATGTCTTAGCCTTCTCAATAGTCCGAGTCCATGCCCGCCGTGCCTAGCGCATATCTTCGAACATAGCTATAGTGCGGGTGTCGGCTCGTCCGATCTCAGCGCAGCTCTCTTACCACTTACGTCGTAGGCGGTTTACATCTTTCTGTTAGGCTTTAAGGTCGGTAGTAAACCACCGTTTGGAGTACGGGGAAGGTCTCATATCGGGTGTATGCTTGTCGACTACATTCGCTGTCGTGCTTATAAGTCTCTCTACGACTATATCCAGCGCCTCGGCTGAGTCTAGCTCCCCGGGTTGCTCGAAAAGTTCCTAGATCTCCTTTCCAATCTTCTCCCAGTCCGCTCGGTCGTACGCCTTTCTCGTCTTACTAGTAGGGTTACGTCGCGCTTAGAGGTACCATTCTAAATAAGTGCCTCGGTGATCTAAACCATAGTTGTCGTGGTAGAGGTAGCATTTAAAGAGTAGGTCCGGTCTATTTATCACTATCTAGTCGATCGTAGAACTTCTCCCCGGGTGGCTTAACGACCAGAAGGTCGCGGTTCCCCGAGGGAAACAGCTCTAAAGGCCATAATCATAAAAGAAATTGATCAGTTCCCTAGCGTCCTCGATAAATCGAGGTTGAATATGGTTGCTCCCCACGCTAGGTAGTAGCGATTGAAATCTCCGGCCAAAATAAGGCTAAAGGTTCTACTATCGTCTCGTATGACGTTTTGAATAGTATCGTAGATTGCCGATAAGGTCGCCTCCGCCGATGCTCCATCAGGCGTATATATCGGTACGGGCGGAATGTAGACTGAGAAGATCAGGATTTGGGAGTCGGCCGTCTAGACTTTAATCGCCGTCAGATCCGGGTGATTGCATCTCACTTATCGGTAAGAGGAGGTTGAGAGTTTGCGATTGACGTAGATAAGGCTTCGGTATCGAACCGAATCGCTTTCTACTGTAGGTTGATAGAGTCGCCACGCGCTGTAGTTCACGTATGTTCGGTAGGCAGTGATCGACGGTTCTTGGATAAGAAGCACGTCTAGTTTCTAGCTCTGATAGTCGTTAATGAGAGCTTCTATACCCGCCCTCGATTTCATAGTGTTTAGTTGTAGAATTCTGAGGTTGTTGTCTAACATTGCGATAGGGGTGCCGTGGCTAGCGTCGGGCATAGCAAGTCTCCAGTCGGATGTTCCCCGCTGCATTCCAAGCAGCGCGCTCTGATGCCCGGGGGACATCTTTCTCGCTCATATTGGCCGCCACAGTGGCCACATTGGGGTGTCTCTTTACACGACCACGCTAGATGGCCGAATCCTTAGCATCGGAAGCATCGTTTCTTTTTGATCTCACACTTTTCCACTCTTCCAATGTACCGTTGATCAATCAACAGGCCATTGTCCAGCATCCATTCTGCTGCCTCTAGTGAGTCGAACCAGATGCCTATTGAGGCGAACGTTCCCAGTTCTTTGTCTCTTTTCTTCAGCCAGGCTATGTCTTCGATTCGAAATCCGCGGTCGGTGAGATCGTTCTCATTTGCGATCTTTTCAATGGCTTCGGTTTTCCTGTTTTCGAGGTCCAACCCAAAGGTCGGGATATGGTGAACGGCGACTCCGAAACGTGGCTTCACCAGTCTAGTGTCGTTGCCCAGCTCGGTCAGCCACTCGGTGTTGGTGCGGGCCGTTTCGGCCGATGCTTGGTTTTTGAATCGGATCACATATCCGGTTTTGGTAGTACCAATCCCCGCAACCTGTGCGTCCTGGGTGGATAGCGTCTTCGACAGTGCCGTCCTGATGTGGGCGTTCGCAGCCGGGGTGGGGAGGTAGCGGCCGAACGCGTCTCCGTTATTATCTGCGCCCAACGCTTCAGTGACAGATCGCTGGGTGCTGATTCGGATGCAGTTCTTGTCTTTGTCAGTTTGTCGCCGGGTCTCCCGGGGTTGCGGATTGTCCGTGCTGGCCGCAACGGCCGCCCATGATCGTGTCGGGGTTGGAGCGTTCCTCTCCTTTACCTGCGACCGTAGCGCTGCAATCTCTTCCTGTAGCTTCTCATTCTGAGTTTGGAGCTCGTTCTGGTTATCTTTCACTTCTCTCAGTTCGGTCCCGGTGGCGCGAATGAGCGTGGTTTGCTCCTCGATGGTGTGTTGCAGGTGTACGATAATCTGCCAAATCTCTCTGGTTGTCACTCGTCCAGTGCTGGTTCCGGTATTGGTCAGTTCCACGGGTTCCGGGGCCGCGTGGGTCTGCTCGCTTTCCACTCGTGCATGTCTCCTGGTCCGGACCGTGGTCGTTGGTGCAAGGTTTTCTGTTACGACGATCCCTGTGCCTCTTCGCGTGGTTGTGGTGGCAAGGGGCTCGGGAGCCCCCGTGGGTGGGTCCGCCATTCGTCTGGCGTTAGCTCCCGCTCGGCACACAACACAATAATTTATATCGCAATAGTATCAACCACAACGTCCGCGCAATAGTCAAGGTCTCTCCCCTACATATTACAGTAGAATTCGAAATCAGCTTTAACGCCAAACTCTTTTACTCTCTGTTCCCCTGCCCCACCTAGATCGCGCTATACCTAATTTGATTAGAAGTGGACCTATCCGATTATTTCCAATGTACCTTTAGGCAGCCGTCAGAAATACCGTTATTGAAATGTCCGGCCACCGCTTACCAGATCCTCCCCGACCCTGGCCCAGCTTCCCCTCTGACTCTGATGTCATCGCCACAGGTTTTAATACTAATGACGAGTTCACTTTAACCAAACACGAATTCGACATCCTCTAAACGAGATATATACACTGTTACATCCATAAAGCCACACCGCTATAAATTTCAAAATTAATTTCTCCTTGAATTAACATGGTGTGGCAGAGAAACAGTTACTATCCCCATTTTTGTAGTTTAATAATTTTTTTTGGGGGGTTTTGAATTAAGCTACATAGTTGTAGAAATAATCGATTGTCGAGCGAGCACAAGCCACACTGTTCCTAAGACGGCCGATCTCATCTTCAGCATGAATGGGATCAGCTTCCCTCCTAACATTAGAGACTTCTGCGTCCTCTTTTATCGTCGTATTAGCTCTTCGGATGTTTTGACAGCTTTCCTGAACTCTGTAGAGGCCTAATTCCAGTGCTGCGTTTTGAAGACATTCCGCGGATGATATCAACTGACGAATGTCTCTATTTAGTCTGATAATAAAAATCGTCAGAACAGTGATTAACCTTGACAAGAAACTCCGGGTATGTATTTGCAATTGACTAGCCCAAGATATATTGTACCATATGAATCAGGGTTAAGGCTTACAGAGCATGTTCCATATCGTCAATAGTATTGTTTGCCCGTTCGATAAACGTATAAAATGCGATCGAGCTGGTCAGCCGATCTTCTTCGTGGTCCATCTCTAGTAGTTGGGAGAAAATGGCCATATCAAGGTTCTGCTCGAGCTGCTCGGTTTCCATGATTTATCGCGAATATACTCGGTGACGGCTGAAATAGAACAATGTCCTTTTTATGGATCTCAGCGATACCTGATAGTATTTCAATCACAGAATAAACCACCGAAGATAATTTATCGTACAAAGGAGTGGAAAGAGGGTAGTGTTGTATGAGTATGAGTCTGTGGCGATGGCATCAGAGGTAGAGGGGAAGCTGGGCCAGGGTCGGGGAGGATCTGGTAAGCGGTGGCCGGACATTTCAATAACGGTATTTCTGACGGCTGCCTAAAGGTACATTGGAAATAATCGGATAGGTCCACTTCTAATCAAATTAGGTATAGCGCGATCTAGGTGGGGCAGGGGGATAGAGAGTAAAAGAGTTTGGCGTTAAAGCTGATTTCGAATTCTACTGTAGCTTCGGACATTGGTAGTTGCAGTTAGATATTGGCGTATACAACAACGGAATATACATTGGTTACTACAGTATATAACACATTCTTCTTATGTGTATGGTTAATTGTCTCGCGCATTCTACGCAATGGTCTTTTTCTCGAAATGGAAAAGCGCTGTTCTCGACAGAGACCGTTTAGTCTAATGTATTGTCACACTATCTGACTTGCAACATATGCACACATTTTTCACAGTGAGAATCACTTAGGCCCTTTCTATTGTTATGCCTGCATGTCGAAAATGACCCTCTGCGCTCTGTTGTTTCGCACCAACATCATGAACACACCGCCGAAGGAAGATATGAAAACCTTGCTCGGGATTCGCTTCGTACGCCGACCAGGACTTTTTTATATAAGCCTTCAGCTCGGCAAAGAATTCCTCGATGGGGTTGAAATCTGGTGAGTAAGGCGGCAAGTACAACAATTTGACACCTGCATCAGAACACAACTGCTTGATTCGGTCCGAGTGGTGGAAAGAGGCATTATCCATTACAAGCACCGATTTCGGTTCCGGCCACTTTCCACAGTGCTGGAGAAGTTGCTTTATAAACGATTCGAAGAACACTGCATCAGTTGACCCCTTAAAAATACGAGACAGGATGACACCATCCTGTGTGTAGGCTGGCAGGATCTGATAGCGTTGACCGCGGTGAAACTTAGATACTTGGACTGGTGTCACGCCCAGTGGTGACCATCCAGTTCGCCGGTACCCCACCCGTTTATCACATCCCGATTCATCAACGAAGACCAGGTGGTAAGAACGATATTCGGACAGTTTGTGCTGGTAGAAATCTCTTAGTTGAGTGTTCTGTTCTCTCGCTTTCTGTTGAATTTTCTTCCTCGTCCAGCCAGCTCGCGTAAGAGCACGTTTGACGCTCGATGGGGATGGCAAAATGTTGAACTCATCCCATAAAAAAATGGCCATCTCATCAATATATAAACCGGGCTTTTCGGCGAGGTGATCACAAAGGGCATCTAGCATCACAGAAGTGATGCTTGATGGCTGACCGGCAGGGACTAATGGGGATCGAGGGCTGCCGAAGAGCCGCAAGTTCCTGCGTATGTTAGTGACAGATCGCTCACTACACTTGGCCACCTTGGCCATTTGTGAAATGGTCAGCTTCTTCCTGCTGCGTGTCATATGAACAATGGATTGACGTTGCCAATTTTTGAGATTACGTGCCATATTGAAGCGGGCTGGGGCGTTGTTGGTGCTGGAATGGAGACAGTCGTTTTGGGGGAAACATCGTGGGGGCTGTGAGTATTCTTGGGGCTGTAATAATACCTACACGACTTCCTCAATTTCGTATTCTATCATTTGGCATTATATGTACCATTCAACATTGGAACGACAACCTCAAATACAGCTATAACCACATCTAGATTAGGGTATCATGTGATCAATATTCCAAAGACCATTACTGGGTTCTCAATAGGAGGAAGGTCACATAACTTGTATATAGGATGCGCTAATCTAGATATAGATAGTGTGTAAATTATCTGGTTTATACCGAACCAGGAATAAATCGTACGAATTTTATGATACTCGTATGGTAGTTACAGGGGTCTAGAAGCCTATGTGACTGGAATATTCGATGCAAAATGAGCAAACATGGCATTCCTCAAACAGGCAATCTGTCAATAATTTCTTCTCCACTGTACAAGAATGATTGGTCGTGATAGTACTTCGCCTCAGTCTCGCTGGGGGCCGACCCCGCCCCTCCTCTCAACAACCACGGCATCCATCCATTCGTGAGACTGGGGTTCGATATCATTTTTGTCTCGCAGTTCTCATGAACTAACAATAGCGTACTCAGTCTCTAAAAGCCAACCATTTGATATTCCATTATGGCAGCCAGGGCCACTCTATCCCATGACGATTACACGGTCGGGTGGATATGCGCTTTACCCCTGGAGATGGCGGCCGCAAAGCTGATGTTGGACGCAATACACCCAAGTCTGCCTCGCCCGCCGACGGATCAAAATACGTATATTCTGGGAAATATCGGGGACCACAACATCGTTATTGCCTGTTTGCCAAGTGGCGCATATGGCATCGTATCAGCTGCAACGGTCGCGATGCAATTGCTCTCGAGTTTCCACTCTATCCGGTTCGGACTGATGGTCGGTATTGGTGGAGGAGTACCAAACGGCAACGCAGACGTTCGACTTGGCGATATCGTGGTGAGCCAACCAACAGACACATCTGGAGGCGTGATCCAATACGACCTTGGTAAAGTATTAAGTGGTGGTCAATTCCAGCGGACAGGGATGCTTAACCGGCCCCCCAAGGTCCTGCTGACTGCCCTCGCTACACTTCAAGCCCACCACTTCACAGAAGAAAGTCGAATTCTTGAATTCATTTCTGAGGTCCGAGCCAAAATGACGCCGCGTATAGCTGCAAATTTTACACGACCAATAAAAGAGGACCTTTTATACGAAACAGACTATGACCACGGAGCATCTGATACATGTATCGGTTGTGATCGGTCCAAATTGAAGCCAAGGCGTCCACGAGACCATAAAGAACCAGTGTTTCACTATGGGCTGATTGCGTCTGCAAATCAGGTAGTGAAAGACGGCAGACGGCGAGACCAGCTGGCTCAGGACCTGGGAGTGTACTGCGTGGAAATGGAAGCGGCGGGGCTTATGAATGACTTTCCTTGTTTAGTTATCCGGGGTATTTGTGACTATGCGGACTCACATAAAAATAAGGAATGGCAAGGATATGCGGCAATGGCGGCAGCAGCCTACGCTAAAGAACTTGTCTTGGTGGTTCCGATCGATCAGGTTAAAACTACTCCAATAGCACGAGATACTCTAGCAGATCATGGTGAGGGTTTCTAAGTTTTAATCTGTATCACTCCTTGCCTAGTTCGAATCCATGACTAAATAAAAATTTCCGTGTGCAGTCCACCGCTTTAATGTCCCTCTAGACCTGACCGTATTGCCCGTGATTGCAAATTTTATAGGACGGCAAGAGGAGATAGACAATCTATGGCAGTATTTACAACCGACAGATTCACCGTCGCGAAAAGTTGCAATTCTTCACAGGCTTAGCGGAATAGGAAAGACGTAGCTAGCGATTCGCTTCGCGCGAGATCACAGAGATGATTTTACGGCGATATTCTGGCTACATAGTAAGGACCGCGATGCGCTATTGCAATCGTTAAGCTTTGCCTTAAACCGATTACTAGAATAGTACTGGGACCGGGAGACAATTAATGACGAGGATGTAGAGCAACGAGCCAGACAAATGTTGCGGTGCCTTGGATTAGATGGTAACTCGCGCTGGCTAATCATTTTTGATAACGTCGATCGATACCACCCCTTCGACAGCTCTATTAGTGATGGATATGACATTGCGGAATTTTTCCCTAAAGCAGATTATGGCTCTATCCTTATCACTTCTCGACTTCAAGGGCTGACTGAGCTAGGGGAGCCTTTCCTAGTTCGCAGACTTGACTCTTATAGCTCAATTCAATTACTCCTACAAAGCAGTGGTATATCATTAAGAAACACTACTAGCAAACTTGACAGCAATTTAGGTACTGTGGTACTTGATGAATAGATGTTACTGATATGCTAATATATGTAGATGTCCTTGCTCTTGCCAATCGTCTGTATAGACTGCTATTAGCCATTGTTCTGGCCGGGGCGTTTATACGTGAAACTGGAACCAGTATCACTGAGTACTTGCAGTTCTATCAAGAATCTTGGTCTGAGCTACAGCTGCAATCGGATCCCGGACGTTAGTACCAGCAAGGCAATATGCTGCAAACATGGATGATCTCATATCTTGAGATCCAGAAGCGTGACCCAAACTCAGCAGACCTTCTATTGCTACTTGCTTATTTCGATAATCGTGATATCTGGTACGAGTTGGTGAAGAGTGGCCGTCACAGCTCAAACGTCCCGGACTGGCTTAAAAAGGCTATATCAAGCGGACTCGAGTTCAAAATCGGTATGAAGTCTCTCATCGGATTCTCTCTTCTTGAGAGTAAGCAACAAGAAGGAAGCTATGCGATGCACCCAGTGGTACAGGATTGGTGCCTTCATATTGCCAACACAAACAAAAATGTAAATTGGATTCAGCTTAATGAGCTGGCACTGATATCTGTTGGATACTCTGTGCCGAGTGCAAGTAATAGGGACTATTCAGAGCTTCAGCAACGGCTTCTTCCACACGCCAATTATGTATGTCATCTAGATTGGTCAGTTGACAATATTGAGTTATGGGGGCATTCCATGGTTTAGGGGATCTTTACTCTGATCAGGGCAAGCTTAAGGAGGCAGAAGAGATGTACCAGCGAGCACTAGCAGGCTACGAGAAGGCCCTCGGTCCAAATCATACGTCCACTCTCGTCACAGTCAACAACCTTGGAAATCTCTTCTCCGATCAAGGGAAGCTGAAAGAGGCAGAAGAGATGTACCAGCGAGCACTGGTAGGCCAGGAGGAGGCCCTCGGTCCAAATCATACGTCCACTCTGGATACAGTGAACAACCTTGGCGTTCTCTATAAGTAAGTGCCTGCATAATAAAGAGTCTTTGAAATTTGATATTTAGAGTGTGTAGGTGTCGTCACAACGCTTCTAGGGATTGTCCAGAATTACTCCGGTCTATTGGCGGCGAGGTTCTTTCTTGGTGAGCACCAGCGTCCATATTTTCATCCCTCTTCTGCTATCCAGCTGACACTTCGCAGGATTGTCGGAGGGAGGCCTTTGTTAGTATCCATCATTCAGACTCTCGGTCATTGTTATTGACCCGCTACAGTTCCCGGCCTCGCGTTCTACGTATCTCTCTGGTATATTCTAGTCCATCTATTGCGGTATAAACGCTCACCTAGTCAGGTACCCAAGAGCAAATGCACAGTTCAGACTCGCCCTCATCTTCGCCTCTGCCTCAATGGCCGGGGCGTTCTCCGGTCTTCTGGCCTTTGCCATCAGCAAGATGGATGGAGTCGGAGGGTTGGAAGGATGGAGATGGATGTGAGTTGCTGTTACTTGGTATCCACGATATGAAGCTGATCCGAGGCAGATTTATCCTGGAAGGTCTCCTGACAGTAGTGTGCGCGGTCCTGGCCTTCTTCGTGATCTGGGATGAGCCATCGACCGCGACGTTTCTGTCGGACAGGGAAAAGGCCATCATCATCGACCTGTTGGCGGACTCGCGAGCGAGCTCTAGCGAAGGCCAGCTGGAAGAGAAGAGTGCTTTCGACTGGAAACAATTCTTGGCAGCAGTTCTAGACTGGCAAGTGAGTTATCAACCCTTTTAATACAACAGCGGCACTCACAATATCTCTAGACATGGATGCACGCCATCAGCTACTGGGGAGCGGTAAGACATCTGCACAAACCACTTGAACATTCTTAACGGTCTTCCAGGCGGTAGCTGTGTATGCACTCTCGCTGTTCCTCCCGACAATTATAAAAGGCCTGGGATATAGTTCCGCCATCGCGCAGCTGCTGACCATCCCCGTCTACGCCGCTGCCTCCATAGCGTGCATTGCTGTGGGCTACTTCTCAGACCGGATGGGCCAGAGGAGTCTCTTCACGCTTGTCTGCTATGGCGCTGTATTTGTTGGCTTCCTCATCGCCGTTGCCCCCAGTCGATTCATTCCAGGCTTGACGTACGCAGGATGCTTTATCGCTGCCAGTGGCAGCTACCCAGGTACCTCTACTACTTCGGCAGTAGTCACGGATGATATATTAATAAAGTCTAGCTATACCGGGCCTCCTAGCCCTGTCGTCCAACAATTACGCACCGGCTACGAAACGCGCTGTCGGAATGGCGATTCAGATTGGGCTTGGGAGTTTAGGAGGCGCGGCGGCGTCCAATTTCTACAAGAAAACAGACGCCCCCAGGTATCGCCTGGGACACTCCCTGGTGCTGGCCTTTGTGGCATTGGGCTTCCTGACCGTGGTCCTCTACTATTTCCTGTGTCGGAGGATCAATGCTAAACGCGACCGTGGAGAAGCAACGGCCAGCCAGAACCCGGATGGGATATTCGAAATGGGCGACAAGGCACCGACTTTCCGCTATAATCTGTAAGGTAGTCTGTTATCATTCAGGTAGAGTGGTAGATACGCCATCTCATATCCTAGGGAGGGGGTACAAGCTATCATCCCCCGTCTTGATACCCCAATAGCCAATTGTGCCAGAGGATATTGTCATTGGACATCGTGTAGGGCAATTCCCACGGGGCCGGGCGCGGTATGTCGGCAATAATGCTGTCAACGTCGAGGGCCATCGAAGTGTCCCCAACTGTATCTAGTGCCTCTGAATTTGGAATGTTGAAGTCCTCCCCTGCGGCCTCTGGACTGTGGCCATTCTTGTCCTGCCCACGTTGTTGCTCAAACATGTCAAAGAACAACTGGCGGATCCAGCCTGCCAGCACATGGCACTCCTCAAAATCCTTCAAAGCGAGCATTTTGTACTTGATGGACCCCAGTAGCGCATTCCTTTTGGTCGTAGATTGGTTTGTGGCATTTGCGTGCGTGAATTGCGCAGTCATTGCTGCAAATATGGCCGATACACTGGATATTCGATCAGCTCTAGTCACTTTCTCTATGCTTGGCAGCGTATCACGCTGGACTATACCAGATCATGGGGAAGTGGCTTCCTTTATGATGAGTGACAGCGTCTTCAGCCATAGAGGTAATCCGTTCGGCTGCATCCATTATTATATCGTTGCTGGCCGTGGTCGTATTTGGTTGCCGGTCTTGGAATGTGCGCTGGAAGGTCTGATGAACAATTATGCGATAGTAACTGACCACATTTAGTGCTTTTCTATTAAGAAACCTTCCACTTACTTAGAAGTTAGATTGAGAATAAGCTGAAGCTGGGCATTGCCAGTCGAACGACATTGCAGACCAGGCGAGAGGCTCTCTTCCCAAGTTGAAAACACCCTACATATAGAGTCAAGTACGATTGTCCCGTCTGAGATAGAACAGTCCCTTGAGGGTGCGAAATATGTTCTCAGTGCGTTCGAGACTAATCCGTCAGTGATGTTCCTCTGAAGCAGGGTTGGGTCTCTAACCTGCGATTGATAGTCTGGCCTGTGCCAGTACATATGCAATTGTTTCTGGGGATTCATCCACAAGATCACCCTCGCTGATGAGTTCAACATCGCAGTCGCAGTCGTGGATGATCATGGGCTTTCCCAGCGAGATCGATATCTGTCTATCACGAATCTGGTCGAAATGGCTTAGCAGGGCAATAAAAGATCCAGGTAAAGGTACGTACGTATAGTAACCACCAGATGCGTCGCCACATACGCTCTTGTTCTGGCTGGAAATTCCTTTGCTGGGCCTTGCGATGCATCTGCATGCATTGTGCAGAACGAATCGTGCCAGCCAGCCACCATAGCGAGTCTCTACTCTGGCTGGCAGATCCGGACCAGTAGTGGAGGAGATAAGAGCATAGAAGCATGACCAGACGATCCCCTTCCGGTTCGCAGTCAAAAGCGGCCTTTGCGGAGCTGAAAAGATCGTCTTCTGCCTCTATACGTCCGGAATAACCCAGGAGGTGTATCGTCTTCAAATCGCAGTGGATCGAGGAAATAAAAAGCACACAGCGCAGCAAGACCTTGGACACTGACCCATCGCTCACGGAACCGAGGAATGCTTCCCGGTCTAGGATGGGACAGAATGGGTGGAATATAACGAAGTAGCCACGCAGCAGGTCATTGACTAGCTGCGCAGGGGGCAGAAGGTGCTGCGATATGCTTGTCGACCTGTGATCGCGGCGTGGATGGTGAGCCACCGCAGTGTTTCCTTGTTCATCCTGTATAGGCCGATATAAGCAGCCTTGGTCGCTGTTTGTCGTTTGGATCACATATGACAGATACCAGCTCTCGCCCCAGATGGGAGGAGCGGACGCCTGACGATGGCGCGTGCTTGCATACAAACGATCCTGGCCGCTCAATGATCCATCACCAGACAAATAACATCTTCGGCGGTGGCTATTGCACAGGGCTACGACGTCAATCGAGAATGGGGGAACTCGATCCGATATGCGCGTCGTTTGGTTGGGTTGGGCTATGGACTCAGTGGTGGCCAGGTCGCTGGTTGCGAATCGCCCATTGCTTCCTCTGCAGGCTATATTAGTCGTTATCTGCTTCTACAGTGGTGAATGCATACCGTGTTCTTTTCGTCTTTGCAATTTGACAATCCGAGTTGCCCACTCGCCGGCAGGGCGAACAGGGGAGTCCTTTCGTCTCCGCATCACATCGGATATGCTGGTCCTTGCACCGTTTACACGCCGAGGACGGTCTTTTTCGTTTCTGGGCAGAGCTCTGGCTTGTCGACATTGCGCCTGTGAGGATGAAGACATTTGAGAGCCTCTGCGATGACTGGCACTCGGTCAGCCCATCTCGCCCCCACAGCACTGGCTCAGCACTGGCTCCATCGCTCCAACACCGGGCGAGCTCTCCACTCTCTGATTCAGAAGACTAGTGTAGTGGATTGTCCAATTAAATTCTGTTTCTTGAGCATCAGAGGGCCCGTGGATTTTGGCGTTTAAATGTCGGACTTGTCTCCGATCGCCGCTGGTCGAGACCACCGGCGGTGGTGAGCAGCACATCTGCTAGAAGATAGCCGTGAACGAACAGTATGAGGCTATGATGGTTATAATTCGTGGCATTCTCCCTTTCCTTCGACATCGCCGAGTATCCGTCGGCCTGTTATTCATATGTGAAGATAAATATTTCGACCATCGCAAACACCGTCCGTTGCAGAAATGTGTCCACGGACACTATTCAACCGTAAAATTGTTGCTCGCTATTATTTACCCTTCTATATTGCTCAAAATTAATGGCGCTACCATAGATTAACTAAACAAGCACAGGAACACTCGCCCCCCAAAGCCCAGGCTTTTCGTACTCCGTGCGCTGATAACCGAAGGGACTGCATAATACCGACGGAACAAATACCAAGGCTTGTTTGGCAAGACTGGAAGTTATAGGCTAAATAAACAGTCATTGAGTCTGATACGATTCCTGCGGTTATCTTCAAAGCGTGGAGGATGAACTGCGCCTTGCGATAAACGGACCCCAACGAGCCATGAACATCACATCACAGTGAGCCCAGTGAGCTTTCTATCTTGGTCTCACTGCCAGATGTCACATTTTACTAGCAGTCTACCTTGTAGGATTTAGGTAAGGGCCGTGCCTGTCAAACGGTGCTTCCTATCCACCCATGTATTTTGGGCTGTTGGGAAATCCCGCCAGGACCCGGCGCATGGCCTGATGAAAGTCCAAGGAATCCCGGACCGAAGACCATGAAGTCAGAAAGTATTTGCCTGTTAAAGACCGGTGGGTTTAGCTGGTATAAAGCAATGGGGCAATTGGGCTTCACGCGGGGGCAGTGCATCGGCTCATGCACGGCCCAGAGTATGCGCCAGTACAAGACCAGCTTTCCGACCGAGGCGTTCATGAGAAAGCTATCGAGAGGATATTGGATATTGATCATGGCTTCTCCAAGTGATCGTGTGCCGACGGCCAGGTCTCGGAATGGTTGCATTACCTGCAAGTGAGTTCCTGGTGTGTCCTCCCGTTAGGGCTTGCTATTAACCATAAGGCACTGCAGGACCCGCCGCGTCAAATGCGACGAGACGAGACCTACTTGCCGCAGGTGCGAGAATGCAGGAAGAAGGTGTGATGGCTATGGAGATGGTTTGGATTCAGGGTCTCCTGAGGGTGCCTCGTCAAATAGCCTCCGGGTAGTACAGCACGTCCCCGGTATCTCGAAGCCAACTCGCATGTGGAAGACCCCCAGTCGCCGGACCTCATCAGCGAGGATGAGTATCGCTCTCTGGAATTCTTCCACCAGAATACAACCCAGGCGTTCACCGCAGATATCGGCGTTCTGCTACTTCGCGTGGCGTACCACCAGCCCATTTTGAGGAGCATCGCCGTCGCCTTGGGCTCTCTCCATCGGTCCTTTGTCCTCCATGGGAGAGGCCCTCTGGCAAACAGCACCGACGCGCAATTTATGCTGCTTCACTACAATAGAGCCATACGAGAGTTGGTGTCAATACAGCCTGAGACAGCGCAGCGAGACGAAACGTTCCTGATTGCCTGTATCTTCTTCTTCTGCTTCGAGTGCCTTCGAGGCGAGTACAAGAACGCCGTGTGACCAGCGGGTTTACCCAGTCTTTGACTGTCCCCAGCTCATTGGCCAAATCCTTGTTGTTCATCTTGGTAGCAACGAGTTTCGATTCTTTGAAAACTTTTTGACGAGACCGATTAACACCAGAAGGGTTCATTCAGTATAGGTAGACTTACCTTTATTCCACATCGGTGACATAGAGAGGGAAAAGCCCAGGCTAATGATATCCAAGATTATATTGTCAACACTAAGACCCTCCTCTTTCAAAGGGGCAAAGGTCCCAAGCATATCCGAAAGCTGCTCGGAAACAGCATTACTGCCCGCGGTGATAGCGCTATTAATTCCCAAGTATTGCTGAGTACGTTTATTAGCACTATTGTTTCATGAAAGTAAGAATGACTTACACGCTCAAGCCAGATCATGGAGAGTACAATCATGTACCCAGCAGGGTGGTTAAACTCATCACACTTGACTTGGAGGTTGGAGCAGCCATCATTATCGGCTAGGTTCTCGCAAAACAGGGTTTCCGTATATTCGAAAAACGAGCCGAGTGACTGGGAGAATTGCGTTCCGCCGTCATTACCCTTGGTGTTCCAATTGTCTACCGCAGCATTCCATGCATCTTCGACTTTGAGCTGCTCCCACCGCTCCAAGGGGTCCATGTCACTGTCAGTTGCAGCAGGAAGAGAGCAGTTCATACCGTCCCAGTCGGGGGCAACAAGGCCATAGAGCCATTGGTACACAATAGGTGGAGGGGTCGATGGAAAGGACGGTGTAGTGCTAGTTGGAGCGGTGACCGGAGTGCTGGCTGAAGAACTGGCTATACATGTACTATGTCCCGGCAGCGTAGCTTCTGCGAGGACAGCCAGGCCGCCGTACAAAATAAAGCATAGAATGCGGCGACTGAGATCCATAGTGTAATCCCCGTCTGGGCAGTGATAACTATGAAAGGCTTGGAACTTGACATCTCATGGCATCAAGCTGCCCTTTATATATGCATCTTGCTTGACAATATAATTATACAGAATATACGATGTTTGCCCTTGGCCACTTGCACGGGCGGGACTACATACCTACGGGGCCACTAACGCAGGAACCACCGTAAGCCAATGTAAGCCAACACGGTCAACGATCCAGTACGACGAAAAGCTTCACACACGTGCTCTCTTTTGCTGAGAAAGCAATACCCAGCACATTGGCTTTGTGCTAACGATCTCGGAGTTCCGGAAATTGCAGACATGATTAGGCCCCCACGTGCGGCCATGAAATTTATACTATCATGATGCTATGTCCCGTGGTCAACAGCCGCTTAAGCTACTTGGTATGTGAATCACTCTTTAGTCGAGAGCTTAGCGTGGCTTAGCAGTTAGGTATCCAATTATATTGCCGGGGTAAGCATGTGCACGCCTTCAGAATAGGCACCAGGTAGGTATGCTGTTTTGCCCGCCCTACCATACCTTTCTGAACAGGCCCCGCCTGGTCGAAAGACGAAGGGCAATAGCTTCCTGCTTTACAGGAGTAAAGCAACGGCATCCCGTGCCTGCAGGGCCTTGTCAGGAGATACGAAAGGCATCATCGCGGAAAGCCCTAAGCCAGCTACGAGCATGTTGCCACGGCCAAGGCTGACTATAATATGAGACCTAGCCCTAGACTTGGCCAGGTATCATACCAGTGTCCACCAGGTATATACTAATTGTAAAGCCTAGATTAATTATTAACTTGTTATTTAAAGCTAGTTCTTTGATCCCTACTAGCCGCCGCCAGTCGTTCGACGTACAGCTCCAGCTCTGCTGCGCACCTGTTTCTGCCCTTCGCTCCAATCAATAGCTTCAATCGCACAATCCACAGCAGCCGGTACGTAATACTAGACTCTCGATGGTTTGAATATTCAAATGGTAGACTTGCTTGGAAAGCCACTCAACTCTTGTTTATATCTTCTACGCACCTTCCAACCTTCACCTTGCTCTCAACCTTCTTCACAGAGAAGCCGATCTGTGATGTATCTTTCAAGACCGCAAATCAAAGCCCTTGGGTATGAGACCTTTGCAAGGGTGGCCGGGCTACTTAACTTTTATGGATGGCTGGCTGTTTCCAGGTATGATAATGGGTTCCTGCGTAATAGATCCTGCCAACAACCAAGATATCTGCTGTTCTTTTTCTCCCTCAATTTTTGTCGTGTTTACTGCTTGCCCACTTTGCACGTTGTGGGCCTAAATATAACATAGCCGGCCCCCTCCACTGCGGCGTGTTGCCTCTCACCTACCACATATGTCAATCCGCCATCGTACCGCTAGACCTTATTTATATAAGCCCTTTATAATCAGCTAAGCTTAAGTTAGAATGTAGAGACCTAACCACCAACTGAACAACAACCTAGAGGACTACATAGCTATCCAAGTCCTCATGTAGATTCCCAATTGGGAGCATCTAACCTGTAGGATAGGATCAATATACTGGTCAATATATCTAATCTACCAGGTCGATAGTTTATACAGTGCTGGATGCCGATTAGTCATTCGGAGGGTGAGAGGCCCTATCGTGGTCACATGATTCACGCCACTGCGACTTTTCCACCCGAGTCTTCGCCGCCTACACTATTAATTCGCTCAATTGCTGTCAATAGAAGCTCATTGTCGAAGCTGATCAAGAATTCAGTCACGGGGAATCCCCTTAATACCAGCGTCCTGGCTCGAAATGAAGAGATTCAGGGCGGCTCGAGCGGTCCGTGTCCCCATTCCTCGGGAGACACCAAGACTAATACAACCCAACCCAACAGTGCGACTCATGCCGCCACCGCAAGACAAGGCTAGTCATGTCACATGTTATTTTGTAGTACACGGCGATTGACAAGATTGACAGATGTGACGCTCGGGATCCCTGTGGGCCCTGCGTGAGCTTGAACCAAATGTGTTCATATGGAACAGAAGCTACATCGTAAGTGACTTGTTGCCATGCTGATGATCGGCAATTGACATGAGATCAGAAGGGGGAAAAGCGAAATGATCTTGGATACGGTCTTGCGGATGGAAGCTTCCATTGATGAACTTAAGGGCATGGTCGTATGTAACGAATGGCGCAACGCTATTTCTCACTCGCTGATTACATATTTCAGGCTATGGGCTCCGGTTCAAGTGTGACGAGTGACATTCAGGCAGATACAACGTCTTCCTGTCCGACAATTACCCGGGTTTCTCAGGATGCACGCCATCATCCAGGGGGCCGCACAACTATGGACCCCACTGAAAGCGCGGTGCTTTCATCAGGACATCTCTCCTCAGCAGAGTCTCTTTTGAAGTGGAACATGTTTAGTGATCACCCTTCAATATTGGAGGAGGCACAGTCCTCATTTTTGTCGCTCGAGTACGGACGACCGTCATTTCCAAGCAAACTCTATGGCATAGTCCCCAGCGCGGGCTTGTCAGATGTCAAAAATATGGTAGGTGTATTCCAACGGACGTATAACTTTTGGTTCCCTACCATCAGCTTGGACGAGCTGAAATCCCTGCAATTGAGGATATGGCAAGAGAATTTGGAGCCTAGCTGCCAATCGTGTCTCGCATTGTTGGTCATGGCTTTGGGCTGCGTCGGCGCGTCCGTGATAGACGAAGAGGACAGTTCTGAAAGCAAGTCTCAACAGCTGAAGCTCCAAGGAGAATCATGGTTCACTGCTGCAATGAAGATGCTCCACTTAGCCCAAATTGAAATGAATATGGAAGCGTGCCAATGCCTCTTGCTGACTGGGTATGATGACATTGTTACCGGCCGAAACAGCGTGTCCAGATGAAACTGACGAATGCGTAGTCTCTACTTCTCCTTCTTGCAAAGGCCACTGCAAACGTGGTCTTATGTGAACAGCGCGGCCACCCGTTCTCGTTTCCTGCTCTCTTGCCCTCTTGACAACCCCGAGCGTGATGACCGAGAACATATCACTAGAATATTCTGGTCGTGCTTTGTATTAGAAAGGTAAGCAATGGCAATGACACCTTACCCTTATCACTGCCTGACTCGCACTAGCAACTATATCTCTGAATTGCCCTCCCTTCCGCAAAACAGCAATACTGAAATCGAATCAGTATTTGCTCTTCCGGGAAAATTCCACTCACATGAAGCTATTGAAGAGGAAGAAAAGTCCAACTTCTACTTTCTAGCATCCATTGCACTCCGTCGCCTCCTCAACCGCGCCCACTACATGCTCTATGACCGCGACAGGGGCCTTCAAATTGATTCCAATAATTTCTATTCCGTGAACCAAGAACTGGCACGCCAACTACACGACTGGTATCAAACCCTACCTCCAAGTCTGCGATTCCCCGAAGACGACAAGCCTGCAGACGACCCGCACAGCGAGTATTTGAGACAGTGGTACCTCAGCTGTCGAAGTGTCATCTATCGACCATATCTGGAGTGGGCCCTCGCTAATCCATTGTGGGATCTTAACAACAATCTGCGTGTGCTCGATGGCTGTCGGGTTGCCCTCGACACTTGCCTATTCAAATTGAGGCACCTGAAGCAGGTGCCATATACTGTCATGGTAGACGCATGGCCATGTTCGCTCTCGTAAGTCTGATTCCGGAAGACTTCGCAACTGTTGGGCATTGTTGCTGATACAACGAATTATCTTGTTAGACTCGAGACAGCGATCTTGACTCTCATGGGTGGCTTCTGTCATCCACAGCTGACAATGCAGCTTCGCCATATTCCGTTGCTAGATCTAGGGCCCCGCCTGGAGCAGCATTTGCAACGATGGATGACTATCCATGGATCCTCCGTTTCTCCCAGTATGGAGAAGGCATTGAGACTCATCATGAAAGCCCACGCGTTCTTCGAAAGCAAAAGTGCAGACTTTGCTCCTTGCGGGGAGGAGGAACAACATCTCTCTCCTGTGTCCCTTCGAATGCCTCTCAGATAGTACTTGTCAGTAAGCCATTTAGCAAAGTCCGGGAAATGTATACCACTTAGTAAACAAGACGGCACTATCAATGTGACTCGATGTGTCTCGAACTATCTCAACACAGCTCGGATTGGTGTCTAGAACTCAAGAGTTAATTGGGGCTCTATTAGTTCACGACCCGTTGTCCTTTGTCCCGGGAGTCCGGCCGGCGTTGGCCAACCTGCCTCAGATATCTCAAAACTCTATTGCCTTCAATAATGCAGAACTGACAGCGATAGATCTCTCTTGTTCAAACCCTTCTGCCTCTCAGAAGAGCCTGAAAAGCACGTATTGGAACTCTATTGCGCCGCTATTGCAACCACTCGGTCCTTACGGGGGTTATTTGAATCCGTCCGGCTCTCTAGAAGCCTTGCTATCCCGAGACTTCAGCGACTTTCAGCCTTGAAACAACCAGCAGGGACATGGTTTTGCCCTGCCTCATGAATAGTCACCAAAGCAGAAACATTCACCGTTTGGACAGTAAACGAAGTATTCAGTATAGGGTCACACAAGGAAAGCTCGTTTGTTCTTAGCGCTAGAATTGAATGGTATAAATAGGCCTTACATATTTATGTCTAATGATAATTAATGGATCCTTATTATGTTGGCCTTGTAGAGACGTTTCCACAACATAGGGCCATCCTAAATTGCCCTTTACCAACAAAGACGGACGGCTCATGTGGTATACCAGCCGAGTGTTACGACGCCAGGGATGTGTACTAGTTTGCTTCTATAGAACCTTTATAGCTGTGGACTAAGACTGAAATCTGACGAACTGGTCAGATTAAAAAGTTATGGGTGAATTAGTTAAAAAGTATACATGGGACTGCAATCTATTGAACAAACCAAGATCTAGCTTTTTAGTTCTCACGAAGATATAGGCTCCAATACCATACCAAAGGTGAGATCCTGCACCTTAACTAGATGCTCATCCATGACTCCGGGGCCACAGGCCGCACTTCCTACGCCTGCGACGTGGTCATCCAACCTCACAAATACGGCATCATCTTTTACGAGATCACAAGTGTGTCGTGCCGCCTCAACAGTCTCATCAGAGTACTGGCTAGCTGTCCAGCTCAGGCTTCCCGTTCCCCCATTCACCACTGTACTTTTTTGAGGGCTTGCACGGAAGCCCGTGCCATTGGGAGCGAGAATTTCTACCCAGGCAGTATCCATGCGGTTTCCATTCTCCTGTGGAATGTCATACACCGTCTGCAAGGACGCAATGTCATCAACATTCCACAAACCAAACTTCTGCGCAATCTTCTTGTCCGGGTACGATTCTCCAGGACCAAGTCCAAGCCAACGTGCCGCCTGCAGATCAGAGTTTGCACGAAGATTGAGACCAACCCGTGGAACAGTTGACGGTGCGGCACCCGTGGGTTGCAAGTTCATGGTGATGGATAATGAGCCGTTGGGCTTGATGGTATAACGCGCAAGACATTTCCATCCCCAAGAAAGAACCGGAGGCGAGATGAATGTCTCACTTTCGATGCAGACACTCCCATCCTCCAGTGTTGATCCGTTGAGAGAACGGAATTGGTTTGTGAGGCAGTTCACACCGAATCGCTTCCAATACGGCGCTGCCTGAGGTACGTCGTTATCTGTCGGAGGACGCCAGAAACCAGGTACCATAGCAAGCCCTGTGTCGGGACTCGGCTCGAGAATAGATCTGGAGTTGTGTGTCCATTTCCTGAGATGTCCGCGTATGCGATCGAACTCAAAGGACCAGTTGGCTCCGCTGACAGATATAGTTGTCTTGGTGGAGTTTGTTGAGAGAGCGCTCTGAGCAGAGCCCAAGCCATTGACTAGCCCTTGCTCGGTTGGCTGTGATACCAAAGCTTGTGTCCAAGCAACGGCATAAGTTCCCTCATCCCATTCGACCTTTCCTCGCTGCTCAAGGGTAATGGTCAAGTAGGCGGGGTGGACGTTGTGTTGGAATAGCTCTTCCGGGAGAGAAATTTCAGCAGATTGCCCAGCGGGCACAATGGGCAGGTCTAGCGATCCAGTTGCCAAGGTTTTTGTTCTAGGTTGAAAAGTTAGAATGTCTTCAATTTATTGAAACGAGAGTTGTGGACTCACTCCTTGTCAAATGCTTCAAGCTTGTATGAAGCTTGGAGATGATTCAGGTCCAAAAAGTTGTACCGGTTCTTCAGGGCCAAGCGCTGTCCACAGACTTCCAGCTTGACTGGCTCATAGACTCTCTTTAGCTCCAACAGGCCCGGTAGAGGCTGATGGGCACTGTTCAGGAGACCATCCATCACGAATGTTCCATCGTTCGGATAGTCATCGAAGTCACCACCGTAGGCATAAAAGCCGTCTTTCTTGCTGTTTCCTTCAACGTATAACCCATGATTGGCCCATTCCCAGATGAAACCACCCTGGAGACGCGGGATCTCGTCAAAGCATTTCTCGTATTCCGTAAGGAGGCCGGGTCCGTTGCCCATGGCATGACCGTATTCGCAGAGAATGATAGGTTTCTCAAACTCGCCATTACTCGAAACACCCTCGTTGGCTGCCAAGGATCGCAGCCGGTCGATCTCCGGGTACATGTAGCTGAACATGTCAGTGGTCTCCGCAGGCATGTCTCCCTCGTAGTGAATCAAGCGAGTGCTGTCGAAAGCGCGGGCATACTCTACCATGGACCGGTGACATGTGCCAAAGAAAGACTCATTTCCCATGGACCAGATAATAACACTAGCATGGTTCTTGTCTCGTTGAATCATTGATTGAACTCGATCCACGTACGCTTCGCGCCAGAAGGGGTTGTCTGATGTATGAGCACCACACTGCGGGAATGTCAACCCCTTGCGCTCCTCGTAGCCAAGAGATTCATCGATGTCCATTGGGCGTGAGACAGCATCATAGAAGCCATGACATTCAAGATCAGCTTCATCCATAACCCACAAGCCCAGCTCGTCGGCCATGTCGAGAAGCCGAGGATCGGGGGATAATGGCTGCAGCGGAGCGCATTAACGTTGTGGGCTTTCATGAGAAGTAGATCTCTGCGCATGAAGTCCAGCGGCACGGCACGACCCAACAACGGGTGGTGGTCGTGTCGGTTGACTCCCCGAAGCTGAATGGCCTTTCCGTTGACGGTGATGAGACCACCCTTGCGCTCGACTTTGCGGAAGCCAATGCGCTGTGTGATAGTGAATGGCTTGTTGGATCCGCGAGGTGTCAAGAGCATCTCCACCTCATACAGATACGGCTGCTCGGCACTCCATTTCTTGGGGTTGGCAACAGGCAAGCTTAATTCCACTGTAGATGTTGCTGGCTCCACAATACACTCGGTGGAAGCAATGACGCTCCTGCTGCCGTGCACCGGGTCAATCAAATTGAGCACAACAGCGCTTGGCTCGGAGACTTGGTAGTCAATTGTTGCGAGAAGCGTCGCATTTCTGTACTCTGAATCGAGTTCAGTGCGGATAAACCAGTCATTCAAGCGGTCGTCGGCTGGCAATGCAATCAAAGTGACATCTCGGAAAATGCCTATTCTCATGATCCATATTAGCACATACCTCTGTCCTACTAAGGGTTACTTAGGGCCATTTAAGTATTACCAGAGAGCCACCACTGATCCTGGTCTTCGATATAGGTAGCGTCTGACCACTGATACACCCGCACAAAGACTTCATTGTCACCGTCCTGCAAAAACGATGTGACGTCGAATTCAGAGGCGTTTCTGCTCCCCTGCGCATACCCGACCAAGGCCTTGTTCACCCAAATGTGGTACGCGCTATCGACACCGTCGAATCGCAAACGAATCTCTGTGTTGTTGGTTTTCCACTCGGATGGCACTTGAAACTTCCGACGGTATGTCCCCGTTGGGTTCTCGGTTGGTACATATGGGGGGCACACAGGGATAGGGAACTGTGTGTTTGTATAATTTGGCTTTCCCCAACCCTGCAACTGCCAATGACCTGGCACATTGATGCTCGACCAGGCCTCGGCGGAGATATCCTCGCTAGGCTCCGGTGCCTCCGGTGGTGACCGGGACATGTTGAACTCCCAGGCTCCATTGAGAAGCAGAGATGTGCTAGGAATGTGGTAAGAACGCGCGGGAAGGGTATTTCGGCGAAAGACCGCGGGGTTCATGAAATCGGGCCGTTCGGGATCGGCCTGCAAGGCCAGCTGTTTGGCCGGAGAGCTCATGGTCCTAGAATGGGAATTTGACGGAAATAAATTCGGACTCCAGGGTCGTTGACTGAGTTGGGGCCAGCTTTGCTACCCTGCGTCCTTTATACCATATTGTTAGACTAAATGACGTCGGGGTCTGAGAAGGACCTAAGACTATCTTACAGATTTTATGGACCTGGCGGCAAAAGAGTCGTCGGTATGTACGCTCGGCATGGAGTCACCCCCGGGTCTCCAACAATCCCCGCGGGTCTATCGGAGCCGTGAATTGTGGGGTGAGTCCTGCGGGGAGAATGAGCATGTTGGGCCCAATAGAAATTCACGGGGCTACCGGCACCGCGTCAATCGGGGCCGGGCAAGACTTGCGCAGACTTTTAACCCACAAAGTTTAAAGACGGCCAATCGCCGTCTGTCCACGTGGGCTTGCGGATCTAGACGCGCACGTCCCGGAAAACTGTCATTGCCACAAGACTGTCGTGATTGGCCAAACGTAGGGCAAGGAATTTGACAGAATCCGGTTGTGCTATGGGCATCGGAGACTGTCACAAACCTACCACTTCATGTCGGCGAGGGCGAGAGAAGGAAGCCCATGATTGTGAGAATAAATAACACCCCGCAGCCATCCTTTTCCCGTTGAATTGGGTCATACTCTTTGCGGATTACCTCCCACGGCGTGGAGAACAAGACCTTTCAGCATCATGGGAGACCCTACACATCCAGACCAACTAGCGGAGAAGGAAGGTGACTGCCATGCTACGCACCAAGAACACGGGGATGGCGTCAAGGAGGGCGTCAAGGTTGAGACTGTTCACGGCTCACTGGCTCTCGACTTAGCCAGGCGGAGCGATCCCCCGAAACCGTGGAGCGTGCAGATGAGAAAGTTATATTTATTCTTGATTGTGGCATATCTTTGCTCGGCATTGAATGGTACGAGGGAAACACTCGATAGCTATGAAAAGTTAACCACTAACTGCTGTCCAGGATTCGATGGCTCGCTTATGGGTGCTCTACTTCCTATAGAGCAGTTCCGTGAAACCTTCGGCTCTGGCTTAGTCGGTTCCAAGGCCGCGTTGATTCAGGGAATGTATACCATTGGAGGTGTCTCCGCGCTGCCATTTGTCGGAATCATCCTAGATACTTGGGGTCGACGGTGTGGCATGTTTACTGGATGCTGCGCTGTCATTCTGGGTACAATTGTTGGTGGCACTGCCAACCACATGGATCAATTGCTTGCCAGTCGATTTTTCCTTGGTATGTTCCTAGTCACTACCCATTCGAATAACTCCGCTAACAGGATATCTTAGGTTGGGGATACTCCCTGGCAGGCTCCGCCGCACCTGCCTATGTCGTCGAGATGAGTCACCCTGCATACCGTGATATTCTGACTGGCTTTTACAATTGCCAGTATTTTATCGGAGCTATTGCTGCTGCTGGCGCTTGTCGTGGATGTCTGAGATTTGAAAGTTCTCTTGCATGGCGCATCCCCATTTGGTGCCAGCTGATTTCATCCGGCATTATAGTGTTGTCTGTTTGGTTCATTCCCGAGTCACCTCGCTGGCTCTATAGCCATGGCCGCAGCGAGGAAGCCTGGGATATTATTGCCAAGTACCACGGCGAGGGTTTCCGGGATAATGCCTATGTTCAACTACAGATCCGAGACTATGAAGAGGCAATCAACATGGAAGGTTCCGATAAGAACGCATGGGACTTTAGGTCTCTTGTTAGAACAAAGGCCGCGAGGTGGAGACTCATGTGTGTGGCTATTGCATCTTTTATGAGCCAATGGGCACAGGCTGGCGTTACAACCTACTATATTGGTGGGCTTTTAGCCACAGCTGGTATTACTGATACGGAGCGTGTGCTGGACGTCAACCTTGGCATCACGGTAGTTTCTGCAGGTCTAGCATATCTGGGAAGTTATTTGGGCCCAAAAATCCGCCGCAGACCTATGATGATTGGCGTGTCTATTGCTTGCGCGGTAAGTATATACGTCCCGCCCTCTGCTTTTATCAATGTTCTCCGCTAATTTTTCGATATGAAGATCGGCCTTGCGAGTTTTGCAGCCACAACCGGGGTGTACTCGGAAACATTGAACACAGACGCGGCCACTGCTTCTATTGTGTTTGTCTTCTTGATCGCCGCTTTTTACAGCTTTGGATGGACTCCTTTGCAAGCCATGTACGCTGTTGAATGTCTTGCATACGAGACTCGCGCCAAGGGAATGGCAATGTACTCTCTCTTCACTAATATCGCCTTGCTGGTAAATCAGTTCGGAGTTGGAAATGCTATCGAGGCTATTGGCTGGCACACATATATCATTCTGGCTGGCTGGAACATTGTTCAGGGAGTATTCATCTACTTCTTCGCTGTTGAAACGAGTAACCGGACACTCGAAGAACTCACGGAGATCTTTGATGCACCCAATCCTCGAAAGAAGAGTACGGAAAGAAGACAGGTGTTGGTTGATGAAACTGAGAACAAGGTCGTGCAAGTTAAGAGTGCATAGATTCAACCTACTCGTTTCCAGTTCTAGGGTCAGCTCATGCATGGTGTTTGTGTGCCCACAATAATTCAGCACCTTGGCTTTCTGCCAATGATCTTGGAGTTCCAGAAATTATAGACATGATTAGACCTCTATATACAGCTATAAAATTTATACTATTATAATACTATATCTCCTAATTAAATCACTTAGGCTACTTAATATATGCCGTACTCTTTAATAAAAATCTCAATATGGCTTAGCCTCTTTAATTTTAATTATATTACTAGTAATAACTATATATATATCTCTAAAGTAGATATAAAATAGATATACTCTTTTTAGTATATATTTTTAAACTAGTCTTACTAGATTAAAAAAATAAAGAGTAATAATCCTCGCTTATAGAAGTAAAATTAAAATATTACGGGCCTGCAGGCCTTTATCAGGAGATATAAAAGGTATCCTCGCTGAAAAACACCAGCTTTAGCCATGCTATCACAGCCGAGGCTGGACTATATTATGAGACCTGGCCCTAGTCCTGGCTACAAGTTATACTAAACAACTAAAAATCTCAACAATATAGCACAAACCAACGATGGAGGACATAGAAAAGATAGTGAGAATAAGCGAAAACAGGTAGCGGGTTGGAAACAGGAAACCTCTGGCGAATGCGCAACTGACGCATCACATCCAAGCTGAAGGAGTTGGCGACCTTTTCGATATGCTCGTCTTGAAGCACAATGACTCCCTGATAAGATCTCAGAAAGTCTTCGAGCAAGTCATTTCCGTTCTCTGCATTATCGGCTGCTGCCGACAGCACTTTATCAGTGGCAACGAAGTCGCCCCAGAGATTCTCGACGCGAAGCAGCTCGAAAATATCCCCGCCACGTTGACTATTTCTCATTGCTGCTACCACTATATCTTCGTTGGTTCTAGCACCGTGCTGAAAAAAGCTGAGAAGTGATTTTATTTCCACGGATTCCTGGGCTGCAGCGATTGCTGCGACCCTTTGAAGATTCAAGACTTCTCTCGTAGGATGTTGGAGCAATACTCTGAGATACCGAGCACTGTGCGTAGGATTCTTGACTGCAGCTATAAGAATATTCTCCGTGATCTTTGCATTCTCCTGGGCTTGATGAAGTATTACCTCAAGGATGGGGCCATTCTGCCATATATGGGGCCGATAGATCTCGCTGGTGAGAGGCTCACCCGTCCACCAGCTCGGGTTCCCCGAGATAGCTGCCAGGATGCCCTCAGAGAACCGAACTTTAGACGGATGGTAAGATAAAAGCCATTTGAGAATGTCATTGCCGAGCAGGTCATTGCGTGCAGCATGCAAAAGTACCGTGGGAGTCATTGATTCTAAAGTTGGGTCATAATCTGCGAACATTTGCATCAGAGTCCACCCGTTAACTTTATTTTTGGCAGCTGCGATCCAGGCTTTCTCGGTGAGGAACTTGCTTATGAGTGGCAATAGATGATGTACCGTAAACCAAGCCCGTTCTTGCTCATTCGATATAGCATGGAGGAAGACATTCTCCGTTAAGTGGTGGTCTTCTCGGTCAGTGGCGAGCTTCTCCAACAGGGACATAGTGGAGTCTGCGTCTCCCTTGGCCATGACGAATGCAATCGAAGCAGGGGAAAACCTGACTCTACGGTCCTTAAATAGAAGACTGCTGCTTATTAGGGGTTCCCCGTCGTTTTCGTTCGATCGGACCATGTTCTCGGTCACTGTCAGGCTGAACCCAGGAAGCTCCAGAAAGAACTGCAAAACCGAGCCTCTTCCTGCATTTCTAACAATCGAAGTCTTGATTTCCTGGCTCCTGAGTAGACTGCTACCTCCATATTCAAACACAAGTCGAAAGGCAGAAGGGCAAGAATTGGGATTCTGCAACAGCGCTATCATGACCTTTTTGGATACTGATATCCGGTACGAAGAGCAAGAGAACAGTAGCCGAAGAGTCTCGTAGCTCTCTTTAGAATTTCTTGCTGCTGCAATAAGAACGTCCTCTGTAATTGGGACCTTTCCCGGGAACCAGTCCAGGAGAAGTTGCACATTTCGCTTGCTGTTGGATGCAGCAGCCTGGGCAATGTTTTGCGTAATTCTCACGCTTTCAAGGCTGTAGTATTTGGCAATAATCGTAAAAAGGGCCTCACACTCTCTATTCGCCACGGCAGACAGGAGAATATCTTTCGTAAGCCCCATAGGGTCGTATGTGCAGTAGCGTAGCAGATATTCAAGTAAATACGCAGAGGTGTAGTACGCCGTGTTTGTGTCTTCGTTCATTTTCAGATTCTCAGCGTCCCTTTCATCATTGGGCACCTGCGGCTCAGCATACCAATATTGGCGAGGTTTAAGCACGCTCGAGTGATCAGAAGATTTACTGTCGTAGAGTTCGTCGGATTCAGGCCAACCGGGGTTGCACTCCGAGGTCTCGTCTGGTTCACCATATTCATCGTTGGTTGTTACCTCAACATGACTTGGTGCATCTGTCTGCAGGACCATAATGAGAACCCTGGGGGTAATAGTCAGATGATCCGTGTATCTTTTGAAGAATGACTTGATAATCTTCACGTTTTTTGTGGATACGATGGACACCAAGACGGATTCGTCAACTAATAGCCGATTTTCGGTGATTTTGAAGAGTTCATCTGCGATTCCAGAACCGAATATCTCGAGTATTCTTTCGATACTAGATGAGTGGATGGGGTGAACGAGCGTCCCATGTTGAAGTAACCTGCGCAGGCTCTTCACATCTGGACGTGCGCGCGGTTCGAGATGAAACCGAGGAGGAAAACCAGCAAAGGAATCCACGAGTTGTTGTGTCACGACCAGCGGCTTGTGGTAATTTTTCAGGCACAAGTCGACCATATCATAGTTCTTCGTGCGAATCACTGAGGACAACACACTTTCTGAAATCATTCCTCGACGGCCTGCTTTTTCGATCACCTCTTTCCAGTCCACAAGACTGGGATCGAGGCGACTCAGGTCGAGGTCGGTGAACTTCCAGACCATGAAGATCCAGGTTTCCTCGTCAACAATCTCAGACTTAGATTCAGGTCCAACAGGCCCCAGCTGTCCCATGGGTTAAGGTGCTGCGAAATCCTTTGCAATGCGCCACGTGTTATTTTGACATTTGGCTGTCGTAACAGCTCGAAGCTGTCAAATTGATCGAGCGCTCCCTTTATTATCATTTCTCCTGTAATTTCCAATTCCTGGGAATTCAACACTTGGAGCACAGTTTGTTTCCCAAGCCATTGCTGACTGCATGACTCCACCACTGCGCTGACCTCCTGGGATGGACGTTCACTCCTCTTGATCAAAGAGTTGAAGGTTATGGGATCAATATCCCTGATCGCCAGGTGAATTGCGGGTACAAACAACGGGTCGTAACGGAACACCTTGTAAGACAGGTACTTTGTGACTCGCAATCGGACTCTCGCTATCAAATTGGGGGTGAAGGCCGGTAACCTCCCTCTGTGTGTCTGCAGGATGAAATGAGAATGGGGGCCCAGCGTGTAGAGTTCAAAAAGCCTGAGGAGATCATCTTCGTTGAAGACGACAGAGACTCCACACTCAATCAACATAGCCACTACACGCAATACCCGATCCTGGAGAGTGACGCCAGTGAAATATATTTTCTGACTGCGATATTTAGTCACAGTGTCGGCAAAGCACGTCTCGAGCCCTGCAAAAAGGACATCCTTTGCTAATAAACCTTCCAATGCGACCGCATCGTTTTTTCGATCTGTGTCCACTATATTTCCTGATGTCTCGGACAAATGAGCAAGTAGAATATTAAAGACATTCAGACCTTGCCCCAAATTTGTGGCTGCAGCCAGCAGGACGCTCTCGGTTGGAAGGACATGGCTGCGCTGTAGAAGGATAGTGACGACGTCAGGCCCATGTTCGCCATTTGAAGCGGCAGCAGCAAGAACCTCCTCGTTAATAAGCGAGTTACTGCCGTGTCGATCGAGGAAGATTGCAATGATTATCTCGTTGAATTTTCTTGCTAGAAACGGCAATGTACTATTGGAGAACGGAATTCGATCATCAATTCTGTCGAACAGGGCAAGGACGATCGGAAAAGAGCAGTGCTCGACAATACCATCCACCATGTCGGCTCTGATACAACCAGCTAGGCGAATCGTCTTGAAAAATGCTAAGAAACTCTCGATATACTCCATTTCGGGTTCCATCGTGGTAACTTGGGCCTCAGTTAGGGTCTTGAAAAATACCGATGTCAGCTGTACGTGCCTCGCATGCTGAAATAGGGCCGGCATATGATTTGATCCGCGACGGCCTTTCATGAGTGCTGCACAAAGAACGATCTCCGTGATAGGGATCTTCCAGTTTGGCCGTGAAATCAGCAGACGAATGTCTATCGCATAACCAGGTCTGGCAACTACATTGCACATTGCAGCTTCAGTAATGACAACTTGGAATTTGGCACGCTTCACGAGTACTTTGATAGCGTCGTAGTGCTCCAACCCCTTGACCATATCATTTGAGATTATAAGCTCCTCCTCAAGGGTATGATCACAAATTGTCACCATCAAACATTCCGCATATTTGTGAGCGAGTAGTTCTGCCATGCACCCTTTGTCTGCAAAGATTTTGTCTCCTCGCGTCATCAATAGCTTTAAAATGTCAATAAACGATTCAAGCTTCTGAGTATTGAATGCTCGAAGTGCAGCTCGAATGACAGGTTGTGCGACGTAAACCTGTGTCCGTGATTGCCGAAGGAGCAGTTTTAGCAATGGCAAATTGTGGCGGTGAGGTGTCCCAATCATTTTGACAACGGCAGGGACTGTAATCCGAATCGAACCAATAGAATGTGTATTGAGATATGCATCCATCATAGAATATCCATCGTCAGCCCCTGTGATGGCATCAAAAAGAGGCTCGGTCATTCTCACAGAAGGGCCAGTCAGAGTCTGTTTTAGAACATCGACATTGAAACATCCACTTTCAATAATCAAGGCTAGTTGAGATAGCGAAAGCAGTATATGTTCTTCCATCAGCAACCATTGCATAATATCTTTACCATGGGTTGAATTCAAAATGAGCGCCTGAATCAGATCAGCTGTGAAATGAACGTCTGTTCCCGTTCTCTTGATCAGGCAATCGACAATGCTCTGGTCATACCAGCGCAGTATAGTATATACCCCACTGTGTGTAACCTTGATTCGGTTGCTGTCAATACAGAGGAGATCTTTCAAAGCGACATCACCGAGCCTCTGGGTTCCCAGACCACCTCCCACAAGATCTTCAGTGATGAAGATCAATTGAGCATCATTCCTGGCCAATATGAACTGGACAAGGTGGCCGGAATGGGTTTGGTTCCTCGCGCTGCAACCTGCCAAGCGTTGAGATATTGTCTCCTGGGCAGGAACTGACTCAAGAAGATGGCAAAGGGACTGAAAACTCAGTCGTGGATTTGACAAGGCACCTTGTAGGAAGGATTCGGGGGTGACGTTGTTATCCGAGACTTTGGCGTGGAGCCACTGAAATGTATCTTGCGAGAGTGCCCGAGTAATTGAGCCCCACCAAGTCCCATCAAACGTCCATTCTCTCGACTGTTTCAGAAGTATTTCAAGTATAGGAGAGGGGTTGACACTGTTGGATAAGGCGGCCACAATCATGTTGTTTGACAGGCTAGCAATCGTATACTCCCGAAGCAAAAGCTCTACCACAGTCACATGTCCGACAATTGCAACTGCACCTTGAGATGTTATACTTCGTTTCTCTTTGTTCTGGGAGAGAAGAGTACGCATCATTTTGCAATCATTTCGATCGTTCTCAAATACCTCCATCACCACATCATCGGTAATTTCGAAGCAGCCGTCGTTTTTGGACATCAGCAACTCGAGCGACCCTTCATCTGCTCGCGCAATCGCTCTAATGATATGAGGGGTGACCGAGACAGTTTGCTGCATTCTGTCTATGAGGGTGCGGAGCATCTCTCTGTGGCAACGACTGTTTCTTGACGCCGCAATAAGGATACCCTCCGTCACAGTCAGCGGGTTTTGCATCCCATTCAGCACTGTAAGCAGGTCGAAATGATCAAACCGTTCCACAATGATTTTCAAAGCCTCCTCATGGAATGATATTTGGCGCTGGTCCTGCTGCAATAGAGTCCGCGCTGTCTGTTTTCTCCAGAACCGGAGTATCAGCTCCATAGCACGCGGTGTGATATGCAATTTGTCTCGCGGACGCTCCAAGGCCCATTGCAAGATTTGATTCCAGGTATTGCTGGCATGTCGCGCCCGATCAGCCCCATAGAGGTCGCGCTGCCTTATTATCATCACTCCGCCGTCGCGATCCAGCAGTGCTTGTACATTGTTGACCCCTTCCACTCCCGTGAAAATGCAACCCCAGCGACCTATTGATATATTGGCTGTTCCCGTGTCAGTGTGCTCCCAGACATAATTGATAACTTCATAGCTGCCATTCAACCGCATGAGCCTGTTTAGGACCCCCCGCGTAAATGGAATTGGTCCTTCCCAGTATTGTCGTAGGCTCTCCATCACTGGGATACAGTGTCTCTCATTTTTCAATGCCGATGCGAATAGACTTGACGTAATGTGCAGCCGGTTTTCTCTTCGCCCGAGGATCAACGATAGTTGAGCACCAGTCAGGTGTCTACAACAAGCAGAGAGAATTCTGCTATTCACAAAATTTGGCTCTCCATTCTCGACAAAGATTGTTCGCACCATATTTATAGCAGTTTCTGGATTGAGAAGCTGGAACGCTCTCATATCGCTGCTGCCTATATCGATTCCAGAGGCATGCTGCAGGAGTAGATGAGCACGATCTTGTCCAATTTTCGCTGCCTGGATCAATGTGGTGGCTGAAATCCTTCCATTATATCGTCTCAAAAGAACTCTCAGAATGGAAAGTCCCTGTCGGGTATTACTCGCTGCCTTGTTTATAATAGGCTCTGTTATTGAACCTGTGGTTCCAGACGTGAGTAGAAGGTGAGTCATGTTATGCCCCTTTGCCTTGTTCCCAACCGCTTTCAGTAACACCTTTTCACTCAAGTTCGTGTTCTCCATATCAACGGTGAGCAACAGTCTCATGGGCTCCAAGTCGCTGTTCCTTGCCGCTGCTACTAGTACGTCGTCATCCAAAGAACTCCGTAGCTTAGGGACCCTCTTAAGAAGACTTTGTAAAATCTCACGACCACATATAGGGTTTTTGGCAGCTTTGACGAGGTGTGCATGGTTCCAATTTGATGTGCGGGCTCGTGGATGCAAAAGGAGCGCGTCGATGATTTGCGCCCCTCGTTGCGTGTTCTTGATGGCTGCTTCTAGGACACCCCTGAAAATTACCATCTCTGCTGGTGCATTTTCTAGTAGATGGCACACAATTATTTCATGCCCCGACGAAGCCGCCAGTTCTAGAGCGGTCTTGCCCTCCTGTGTGACAAAGTCGGTGTCCAAATATTCGGTCCTGTGGTATCTGTCCACTGAGGTGGTCTGCAGAATGTACTTAACGAGTGGTAGAATTCCCCATATCGCAGCAATGTGAAATGGAGAAGGCTTTGCCCATCTTTTGTAGGTTTGTGAAGCAGAAAGGTGCGACCACCAATTTTGCCACTGAAGAGAGTCCTCTTTGAAGAATGTACCTGTTTCTCGATGATCTCGAACTGCTCTCCCGCGAAATGTGCGTGCTCCGGCCAGAAACGAATTGCATAGGGGAGTAGGCTAGTATCGTCAATTTTCTCATCTTTGCGGCCGCCAAATTTCGAAACAACAATTGGGATGCCCAGTCTCCATGCATCGATCGATACACCTATACGCTAGAAACGCATGGGCAGCCCGAAGGCCAGAGCCGCTGGTATACCGGTCGTCCGTAAGAAAGTCCTTGACTGACTTATGTAGCAATGCAACTTTATCGTTTGTTTCAACAACCAGAAGCTTGCAATCGTGGATGGAGCTTCTCATTGCAAGTACCTGTTCTTCCTCGCTTTCCTGTGCATAAAACTGGCAGGCATAGGCTAATTGCAAGAGACTGAGAGGTTCCAGAGACACTGCCACGATATTGACAATACGAAGAATGTCTTCCTTGCTCTCGGGTCGAGCCTGGGCTGCCCTTTCGAGCAGTTGCCCATAGAGACTGCTCAGTCCAGTAGGCAATTGCTCGAGGATTCCTATGATATCCGCCCGAGCAGCATCCTTCACTTCCTCCATAGCCAAAGAGACCCAGAGGAAGGTATCTTCGGCTTTTTCCTGAATAATGTGACGAACTCTCCCCTGCATCTCAGTGGAAAACCTCTTCTTCTCGGTCAAGTAATCCACAGAGTTTTCAACGAACGCAGCACCATCATCCTTTGCCTCGGCGAACCCACCGATATCCGCGTTGACAAAGCCCCCCAAGTATGTTCTGATCTCCTCATACGGTCTGCTTGTAATGAGGAAATAGACATGTGAGAGGGATCGATCGTAGTACTCTGGGTCGAAAAAGTTCTCAAACTTTCTCAATATCGCGTTTTGTGACTCTCGGTCGCACTCATCAAGGGCGTCAATGACACAATAAACCTTCCCCTCGCTCCCACCATTCAACAACATAATGAACAATTTCCACAGACGGTTGAAAGAAGTAAACAGCACCTTATCGTCTTCATACCATCTCCTAACCACTTCCTGACCTATTGGTCGATCTTTGATCAATTGCCAGATCAAACCACTCAGAACAGCGATTCCCGAAGTGTGATTCTGGGAGCTGGAATCGCAGAAGAAATAAATCACCAGGCCTGCATCTCCCATATTTGGATCGTTCTCCAGGGCTTCGGTAAGGAAGATTGTCATCATGGACTTGCCACTTGCTGGCAAGCCGTGAAGCCACAGAATGTTGGAATCGTTTTTTCCAGAACCCTCACGCCACTCTTGAAAGATGTTATTTTTCAGCATCCACTCGCAGGTTCCCTTGGCCCTTCTTCCTTTCCGTTCCTGTAGGTCTTCCCTATGTCGAATAGGGTTGCTGAATGATAGGATCTGAACGCATTCCTTTCGAGCGTCTGAATAGGCCAGTGGAACATCAACTTCTTCATGGTTTTGGTAACATTCACGTGGCTTTCCGTTCAATAGCAACATTAGGCATGTGTGATTTATAGTACTCCAGAACCTTTATCAACCTACGAGCTGCACTCAGGGTTCCTTTGCCCTGTCTGCTCTAGTGGGCTGCAAATTTTGAGTGCTACTGCACATTAACGCTCGTCGAATAATAAATTTCACTACAGTACTTCCGGAAATCGGTGTCACCACCTCAGGCTCTTTGATTGTTTTTCTGTCTCTGGTGCCAAGAAGCGCTAAACCGTTTTTAGAACCACCTAATAATATCACCGGTCTAGGCTTTGTACAGTCGAAATACCGGATTTTGTATTAATTATTATCGCTCAGGTTTATTACCTGTCAGAGCTAGAGAGTGCTACTAACAGAGCGATGTAAAATCGTATCTACTAGTATGCACGTTGGCGAATGGGGATCAGGCGGAACCAGCTAAAACGGGATGAATTGATTGATTGTAGATAAAACGAGTGGCAGGCAGAGGTATGTTAAATACACATCTGCAGAATTGGTTCACGGTTGATATGTGGACGGAACCTATTCTTCCATGTCTTGGAAGACCCATGGGATACTCGAGAGTGACTTGTAAGTGTTGTCTCGGGACCCCGTAATTACCATACAAAAGAGGGAGAAAGGTGGGGTACTGAGTAATAGCGAACCATGGCTCCTAACATAGCCAAATATACGCTCGTACTTATTCATGATATGATTACCAGTGAAGAACTGACCGCTTCCCAGATGGCTGATGCTGCTGACTGCAGCAAGCGCGCCATCATCAGGATCCGTAAGTTTTTGGTATGAGCAAGTGAAGCCTAGAATCAATGTTTATCAACCGACACTAACTATACCACAGCGATCGTCGTTTCCAGGAAATAACAACTTTGCGCCATAACATGAGCATTATAGAAAGTGGCCATATCCGATTCCTGGAGCTTCACCCAGTTCTCCAGATCCTGGTCAGACACTGGCGCTCTCAGATCATCTGCGCTTCACCGAATCTGGTTTGTCTTCTGTTCTTGCTACTTTCCCGATATTTCGGGTTATGGGGAGACCGGGACCACTTGAAATTGAAAACATTATTCGTCAAGAAGGTGCGGTTGGATTTAATTATCTCATGGTCACCAGATGCATAACAAATAACAGCTCATTACTCTTGGAGCGGCGTACATGTGGAAGATCGAATGGCACAAATGAGGGAGCGACACGTTCTGCAGGCCATATGTGGCAACAAGAACACGGTACACAGCAGCTTCTGTGTATTAACAAGTACAGAATTCCCTCCGGACATGGACCATCGAAGTAGTACATGTATATCTATAATTGGCTACTTTCTTTCAATTAGTATTTAATTGAGATATATTGTCGCAATCTACTTGGTCTAGACTCTTTGACTTGTATAACGCGGAATAAAATAGCTCAAATAGGAGTAGAGAATGCAATATGACCAATAAAGGGTCCGCGAGTGGAAGTACATAATCTAAATCAAGATATTGCTCGTTCGCCTGCAAGGTTGCCTCGTATCTGTAGCCTTAGACATAAAATCTTCACATTCCCATTTTTTGACTAGTAGCTGCTCCTAGTGACATTACTGTGCGTTCCATCTTTACTACTCTCAGATCATTCACTCGAACGCCTTTGTCCTCAACATGTCGAGTGAGTTGGTTTTGTTACGGAAAAAAAGCTGCGCTAACATTGAAAGCTATCACTGCGGCTTCCCTCGAAAGTGCAAGGGTATTGACGCCGATACCGACCACCGAGCAGTCTCAATCACCACATGCAGCAGTATCGGTGAATCTTGATCAAGATGCCTTGACATCGCTCACGGCGGCTTTCCAAAGCTCAGCGTTGGAAGACAAGGCTTCTGTTACTTTTATCGATACTTGTGCAGGGGTGGCTGAGATGATAGGCGATTTGACTCATCTGCCGGCAAAACCCCCCTCTTTATATATCGACCTCGAGGGCGTCAACCTCTCTCGACATGGAACGATCTCGATTCTGCAAATTTTTGTCCTCCCGCAAAGATCAACATTCTTGATTGACATATACGGCCTGAAGGATAAAGCGTTTTCTTATCCTGCACCGAGCGGAACTACACTTCGGGCTATCCTTGAGTCGCCTTCTATTCCTAAGGTGTTTTTCGACGTCCGCAACGATTCAGATGCTCTTTTCAGCCACTATCAGATTGAATTATCAGGCGTGCAAGATCTTCAGTTGATGGAGCTTGCAACGCGCAAGTTCTCGAAAAGATGCGTGAATGGACTAGGTAAATGCATAGAAAACGATGCTGGAATGACTGCGGATGAAAGAGCGAATTGGAAAGCTTTCAAAGACAAAGGAAGAAAATTGTTTGCACCTGAATGTGGTGGCTCTTACGAAGTTTTCAACACTCGACCCCTTCCAGATGAAATTCGACAATACTGTGCGCAGGACGTACAATTTTTACCCAAGTTATGGCAAAAATATGATGGCCGAATGACTCGACAATGGGCAACGAAAGTAGAGATGGAAGTGAAGAACCGCGTACGGCTCTCCAAATCCAAGACATTTAACGGCAAGGGAAGACATATGGCCTTAGCACCTGCAAACTGGGCTTAGCCTTGTCGGATCAACGCTCAGGAGAGCGCCTGGTGTCCGTGGCGAAGCAGATGTGAAATGCGAGATAGAAGATGATTATCTATGAGATGCCAATCAAATCAACATTTTTGCTGGATTCGTGTGGTGTAACTTTCTAGTGTCTCGCTCAGTGTTTGATGGTAGTGGCATACAGTACAGAACTTATACATTCTATTTCTATCAGGTCTGCGAAGGTACGGCTCTTATAGTGAAACCAATCTTTAATGGCATTGTGAAAGCGTGATATTTGCCGGCTGGCTGAGGTCAGCTGGGTGACCCCGCCTTCCTATTTTGACTTGGGAGTCCTGAATCTCCACCCAGCCCCACTGATCGCCACCAATAATATTGAATGACGTCGTTGCTCTGGGTCGGTTCCCAACCGTACACTGATATTCAAACCCTATAGTAGATTCACGTGAACCAGGCCTGGGAAATCGCGACTTCTGTCGAGGTCTAGTCCTATCACGCTTACATGTGGATGCTTGCGGTGAGTAACTCAAACATAGCGCATGTATCCACCCTGGTCGGAACTCTGCAGTGGGTAATTATTATGACTTAGGACTAAATCAATGATGCAAAGGACCAAATGTTATACTTTGAACAGAGTAATTCCCCGAAAGTCTGCTTCATGCCAATTGTTAATTGGTTAGGCACCAAGTAGTGTCGTAATCGATACAGTGAACAGAGTTGTAGCCCTTGGAGAATAAAATAATCAACCTCCGCAGATTCTTACACTTCAATTCAGTGAAGATATACCCACCCTCTTCAGTTATTAAAATCATGGGAGGAAAGAAACATATTTGTTCAAAGTGCCGTTCGCGCAAGGCAAAACCATCTACCAGCTTCGCACCCGAACCCGAGCCCGGGCCAGAGCATGTTGAAAACAATGTTGAATCACCTGAGGCCATCGAAGCTGAAGTTGAATACCCTATTCAATCTAGTGAGGCTATTGGGTCAGGGATTTCAGAGTCCAAAGATTTATTAGAAGGCCCCTACGAGGACGATAACTCAAGTGGATTTGTCCTTGATACACCACAGTCTGAAGCAACGGTCAGAAGTGCCCAACATGACGACGTGGCATGCATGAGGGTAAATTATGTGAGTCAAAAGTTTGGTTGATGCATTTTGAACTCCGCTTATTATTTGCAAAGAAACAACTGGACTTGACACGTAGTCACATGTTTGTTTGGTGCTACCGGTGTCCGGCAGCCTTGTTGATTGAGTATGAAGGCCATGAACAATTGGACTTCCTTCACTACAAGGATACAACGCCAGAACCATCATCTCATTTAGTTGCGACTATATGCCGAGCCTGCACCAGAAAAAGACCCAGCTCCCATGATCCATATCTGGATATAGCAGTGTGTCGCGTTAAAGGCATGATGATATATAAGCACGCTTGCGAAATATCTAATCGCACAGTCAAAGTTGCCACAGATACATCAGGCCGCATACTCTGTGTGGACATGAACAAAATCTCGGGAAAGTTTACAATGTCTTCTGTGTTATATGGGCTTGATACAGATTGTTTCAATGGAAGTACCTCGGGAAAAGGTTTGTTAGTCCCGCAAGTTTCTAGTTGTTTTATTTAAGTTGCCAAGAAAGTGCGTGAATAACACCAAAATAAACGCTTTATTTAAACAGCAATATAGCGCTGAAACCGTTGTATTTCCTACAATAGACGTGATCCAACGATTAATATTCGTGAGTACATCGATGTCTTCACGATGGAATTTCTTACACAAGATGATCTATATCGTTACCTTCCTGCTTCTGATACGATGATGTCACTAGTTATTCAACCTGCTTTGCCTTGGCTTCCAAGGAGATGACTAAACATGCTCTTCTCAATCGCAACAGCGAAATCAAATGTATTAACGAGGGGTAGGAATGGTAAACCCTTGAGTAAATTTCAAGTATTCTAGACCCGCTTACTAGGACTCTTGTTCCTAGGATCTACAGTATGGTTCCTAGGCACGCTCTTGGTCGCTCCTAGGGATCAGACTTAGAGTTCCTAGAGGACACTTTGTTCTTGAGGTGTTTCTGGGATCACTTGATCCGTGCCTAGGAGCGCGTCTGGCGTTCCTGGGCTGTGGTTAGTTCCGGGGAGCCCCACATCTTGTTCCTGGGGTCCAGGGGCCCGAGCTAGAGTCTACATCAGGTCGATGATTGGCTTCCAAGGAGATGACTAAACATGTTATTCTCAATCGCAACGAAACCAAAATGAATACTATATGTATCAACGAGGGCTAGGAATGGTAAAACTTTGAGTAAATTCCAAATCATCCGGCGCAGCAACCGGTCCTTTTCTTGGACGTTTCCGATACTGTATTCTTGTATACCCGTGTTTTGGTAACTACATTTGAAACTATTATGGTGGATGTCCCACAGCGAGCATCCAATTTCACTTCGCTCGTAACGCAACACAGTCTTTCGTCATCGATCTTTCCTGCGTCGCCTTCCCAGCGTCCCTTCGCGAACATTTAGAATATGTCGAGGCCACTCGGCGAATGAGGGAGCAAGCCGAAGAGTGCAAATGCGAGCCTAGTGCAGCGATGCAATCGCGATTAGAGAAACTGACACGCGAAACCTCCAATACATTCGGCCGGTTGGAAAGAGCACTGAGACGGAAGGTGCGCCATGAGTTTGACCGCAAATAGGCCATCATAGACATTGAGCGACAGCTCTCGGGGGCTGCTGTTGATGACAAAGAGGCGAAGAAGGTACTTCAAGTAGAAGACTAGATACTACCGGAGCAGATTGATCTTCTTGAGAAATTATTCATCTGGCCTACCTCTCAATCCCTAGAGGCCGAGTGGTAAAGAAGGAACGCTGCCTCATTTTTGATACCCCCGCATCAGTCTCAAAGTTATGCTCTCACGATAAGCTGATCTAAAAAGATATAAGAAAGTACAATCTAACTAAAGCATGAGAATTTGTCTTTTACATTATTACACCCCAAATAATATCATTCTTGCTCAAGCAGCCTGATTTGGACTGGTGGCACTCTGAATGCTGCTTGTTCAGAGTCAAGCCCGGTCTCGGCTAAATTAATTTCCGAATAGCCCTATACCTCCTGATTTATGCACAGTAAAGCTATAGTCCGAGTAACCTTCCATATTCGAGGCTAGAGCAAGTCTCTCTGCTTTAGTCCTTGCCCACCTTTCAGTTATCTACGGAAGTAATATTGTAGTGGTTCTCATATCATCTTACCCTTATAGAGTTCCCCTGCACGACCCATATGTATCTAGAAGCGTGACCACAGTTCCCAGAGGACTAGAAGGCCGGTAAACGACGGGAGAGCCCAGGAACGATCTATCTCGCTCCCAGGAGTGACATGTACAGTTAGAGGACATTAAGCTCCCAGGCCATGACCATGATCCTGGGAGCGATAGTTAAATATAGCTCCCTGGCGCAGCATATCGTAGATTAACCAGCAGAACAGCTAGCTGGGTTTAGACCAGAACAAGGCAGGCAAATGAAACGGCGTCGAAGAATTGAGAGACCGCTCATTTGTCCTTTATGCGCATGTCAAACGTGAAAGAAGTTCTTGGTGAAAAGACCGACATTCCAGTTATCGCAAGTACCTAAAGTGTCAACTGGAGGGATCGGGATAGTTGCCGAATTGGTTAGGATAATAAAGTGCTTTGCAGCACTTAATGTCTTATGTATGCTATTTCAGTTTTGTGCAATCTAATCGGGTTACATACATATGTACGATGAATCACGCAAAGTAGTGTCCAATCGTCTCTTAGCAGTAGCCCACTCGAGCTGCTGGCTCTCTGGTATATAATGAGCCTTATGCCCTAACTCTGACTTAGTCAAACTTCTACTTTCCTCCCACCTAGTTAACCTAGCACCTAGGTACACATCTCTTCTTTTAAAGCCACGATAACCAGCCCTTCAAGCACGATTCTTATTAAGGATGACGAACTACCCCCGAGCTAGCGGTTAGGGAATTTATAGGCCTAAAGGACGTCTCTACGTATATCTCTTAAGACCCTAATTGAACCAAACGATGCTACGAGTAGTAATATAGAACCATCCCGTAAACGTAAAAGGGCTAAGAGAAAACAACCTAATACTCTAGTAGAACCTTCCCTCCTAAGACACTCCGATTTCCTAAGCTAATAATGGACTAGGATACCTATTTTAAGAGACTGCGTAAGATATTTGACGAAAGAGATTAAGAAGTTGAAAAACTCGATTAGGAGGTTAAAAATCTCGAGTAAGAAGTTAAAAAGTAGCAAAAGTAAGTCTAGGAACTTTAAAGTAAGCTTCTCTAATAGGAAGACTAGCATTAAGAGGAGCTTTCCTAACGACGTATTCTAGACTATAAAATATACTATAAGTAGCCGGATTGTTAGTATATTCTACTATACGGGTATATGATTTATAAGACATATATAGAACGACTTAATTAAAAAATATACCCTTTTTATAGAGTAAGCTTTTCGGGGTTTATTAAATACTATCTATTTATAGGATAGATATATATATATTTTCTAATATAAGCTCGACGTATTTAGTGATTTAACTCGAAATCCTCTTTTATTAGCCTAGGAATAATTATAGTTTGCGAATACTATAAAGTATATAGTATATAACTAAAGGATAGGGTCGGGACCGTATTAGTCGTAAACGCTTAGGTTATTTTCAATTTTCTTTCGATATAAACGTCGTCTAACCGCTTAACCTTATCACTCTACTTCTTAAATTTAGTCCGAAATCGCCGGGTTATTCTATTGTTTTTACAATTTCATAAGGTGGCTAGATAGAGTGGATAATCCGTGTTTGTCCATTAGTATGGCGTGCTAGATAACCGCGTATAAATCCTAACTTCCGGGCGATTTTGGAAAGAAGTCCCATTCTGAGGCAATAGAGGTAATGTGAGATAATCGAACTTAAAGAGTGAAATATTAAATTTATATTGTAGAAGACGCTTATACTTATGCACCTTGTCCACAATGCGCTTTTTTGCGCCCTATAACCATTACGCCAATTTCCTATATCCGGTTAACACCGCCAGAGTCGAAAATTATCGGCATACAATATTCCAGATAATAGAATATTCTTAGGGCTCGAAAATTTCGGGCTATTAATTTTAGAATTACTTAAATTATATAGCCTCTTAAAATTTACGCGCTATAATTTTCCAAAAGGTCAAATATTCTAAACTTCAAATTTGAAAGGGATATTTTATTCCGGCTTATTTAGAAATAAAGCTCTTTAAAATTTAAATCTTATTATTTTCTCCTCGCTCTTATCTTCTTATCTAGAAATTTATCACGCCCTAGGAACATATGTTCTAGGAACGTCAGAGCTGCTGCTGTCCTTGAACTATTCGGGATTCGTATATAGACCGAAGTGCGGCTGAATATTTGGCATAGGAACCAACAGGTCCTGGCTGCAATCAGGAGGTCTGCACGATAGTAGGTAGCTGGATTTTATAGTGGTGGTTGAGAACCGCCGTCTATAAGCCACTGTTACATCGGGAGAGCATCTCGCTATTCCCAGTGTGGTCGAATAGAACCCACTGCGGAGACGACTACGGTCAAGGATATCTATCATACCTAGAGGTACCCCTGGCTAATGATAACGTTCCTAACTTTAGAGTGGGGCTTCAAATCCCCAACGCACCTGCCAGCACATGCATCGCCTTGTCATCGGCGTCTCGGGCCGTTGGTGCTCTAATGCTCACGTATTTTTTCTCAACCTAAAATCTGCCAAGATAATTGCGGCATTTTGTAAGGATACGGCTACCTAGGGGAATGCAAACTGTGGGAAGAGTATGGCCCAAGAATGTTCATTTAGAGTACATAAGAGGATTCCATAGTAAAAGCGAGAGATATGTTGTGAGTCTTGACCTGAAACAACACATAGTCGTGGGAAGATCATATATCCCAAAAGTATGTTTTATTCCGCAAGGCGCTTAGGACGTGTCACCGCATTACCCCTCGCCTTTGCTCTAGAGATATATAGTGGTAATTTTCGCTCTTTTTGCACTCTGTTAAGGCACCTCATGAGCTAAGTGGGCATTGCGAACAAATACTATCACGTGTAAGTCCTATATTTTGATCTTGATTTCCTAAGAAATATCTCTTAGCATGACAATAGACATGTCGGCATCGAATGAGCCCCTTACTAGAATCGAAGCAGTAGTTCGGCTTCAATGTCTGGTACAGACTGGGAGCGCAGCTGACTACGTTTCCGAATTCCTGAAGCTCCGAAGCAAAATCACACGGGAGACATTTATTGCATCCATTTTCTTCATTAGCCTTAAAAAAGAATTGCAAATTGGTCTTCGTCAATTAGGGGAGCTTCCTGACACGTGGGAAAAGATGGCAGAGAAAGCGATCGCTGTTGAACGTCAACTTACTGAGGAGCGAAGGCAGAATGGTCAGTGTTTCAGTTGTGGGCAGCCTGGCCACGTAGCACGAAACTGTTCAGAATAGTCTTACTCTATTGGCAATGAAGATCCTGTGCCCCACTTGCAGTCGATTGGGCTATCGTCAGTGCTGTTGTTGGTGCTTGAATTGGTGGTTTGATTTGTTTGCTAGATTGAAGTCCTACTAACCGTGCCAAGCCCACCAACATCAGGTAGTGTGTTGGTGGGCTTGGCACGGTTATATGTTCAAAAACCGCCATTGCACTTTTGCGCTTTTGCGCTTTTCGTGCTTTCATAACGTTTGACGTTCTTTAAAAGCCACTCCCTAGCCAACAAGCATACGACTATAAGAGCACCCACTTCCTGATTTCTTAATTCTACTTTCCAGCAAGTCTAATACTAGAGTCCCGAGGCATATTTTAGGCTACAGACTAGCAGATGGCGACTACAGGCCCTCGTTCAAATGGCTCTTCTTCGAAAAGAAAATCAATGCGTCAAAAACAAGGTCGTCGCAAATCCAATTTGATGAAAAAGGCACGCGAATATAGTAGGTTGTATGAAGCAGACGTCTGCGTCGGGATTCGCCTTCGAGAAACGGGCCAAGTATTTATCCTATCGGCGGATGCCTCGGGATTTTGGGGATTTCTTAGGTCGCAACTAGTATATAGGCAGAAACGAGTCATATAACCAAGGCTAACTTTTCTAGGCCTCCTATTATCCGACCCCATTTTTAATCATAGATCAAGACCTAGGGAAGGCTAAAGAAGGTATTATAAGGAAACCAAGCGAGGCAGATCTTCTAGCTTAAATACTATAACTGAAATTAATTCCCCGGGTATGTCTTACTAAGACTAGCTTACGTACCCAGGGGCACGTGATCTCATCTCAATATCCCAGGATACTTTCAGCGCTCTAAGCCCTTCTATAAAGAATAAAGGCTTATAGGAAATCATATAAGAGATTGAACAAGTAGAAGCTAATATAATGGTTTTCTTCTAAGAACGAGAGAAAACTAGAACAACGTATAAAAGTCTTTAGGTAGAACGATATATAGTGAATCATTAGCGCATAGATAGTGCCTATTCTATTAGCAACCCGTAAAAGCTCGACGATTACGTCCGCTTATTCTAAATCTAACGGATATTCCGAGAGAGTCTAATAAAGCTTATTAAAACTCACATTTCTAAGTTAGTCCAATCTATATCTAATAGCGAAGTCATATAAACGAGTATATACCAGCAGTGTCTTAGGATATTTGCATAGATAGTTTCCATCCCCACAATATAGCAAAGATATCGAATTGTCGGTCTTCACCTAGATATCTTCATAACTCGCAAAATAATTTTCTTTTAAGGGAAGTAGATCCTACGTTACAATATCAATTTTATCTTCGTATAAAGCATAACTCGATTTATCGGCTACTAGAATAAGGACAGAGTAGTCCCCACTATAAAGGTACTAAAGAATATAGCTAAAGATATCCTTAACATCGTCGTCAACTACATATATTATTTCGGGCGAACTTTTATAACGACACCGGAGGCTTTAGATTATCCCGCTAGGCGCAGCGAATTTCTTCCCATTAGGGCCAACCTCTAGATATACGAGGGGGAGATAAATTAACTAGGTATTTTTAGATAACGCCTCCAAAGGAAAGGAAAGCGTACTTACTCTAGCCGTACTTAAATCATAACGAGATATTTCGTCGGTATTATCAATTAAACTCGAGGCAGCACTATATATAGAAGCATCAGAAGAAGTAAGCAGCATAAGTTTAAATAATTAATCAGTGGCTAACAAGAAATATATCGTCTACATACTACCTCAATATGATTGCTCCAGGACGCTAACTCAGCGTCCTAGAGCAAGGCCCACGAATTTGATCATCTTTCTTTCATAGTCTCCTTGACCCCACTAGAACGCCCAGCCCCGCTACCTACGTCATTTGCTAGCTAGAAAAGGGGTATCTTAGGTAGAGGTTGAGATTAATCTTAGTATAAGAGGCTCGCCCGTATCCAGTCCTACCTTCAGTATCAAACTAGAGGGTTCAAGAGCCCCTTTAGGGACGTTTACCAAGAAATCGAGGCTAGATAAGCTTTACGACGGATTCAACTAAAAAGCTAGACATAGCGCTTCCATAGATAGAGGAAGAGTGTTTTCTGGCCTATATTGTCCCCAGGCCGACAAAGACACAAATCCAGTGCCTTAAGGCCAGTCATATAATAGATCTATAGATCTACGTCCAAGCGGGCTTTGAGTCTAGAGATATAGGTCCGTGGTTAGGAAGCTATGGTAGGAAGGCTTTAGCTTTAGGCACTATAACCTAGTATAGTTGATTCGAGGCCACCGATAGAAGACAGTGGACGTAGACCTACTTTAGACGTACGTCCACGGCTCCTAGTCTAGGTAGGCTTTATAGCTATTAACTAGCGGCTACCCTAGCTTAGTAACCATAAGGGTCCTCGGTCTTCTAACTACGGTCTATATAGGACACAAGTATCATAATCTAGATCTTAAGTACATTATTTATCGCCTACTACCGGCGTTTTATCGGCCGATCATCATTACTACCGGGTTCAATTACTCGTACGATAGAATTCACCGCCTCTTCACTTACAACCAGATCGTCGCCGAATATCATAAATATCGTATTCGTACTATCCTCAATCGCCGTATTAAAGCACTGCCCCAGTAGGACTTGCCGTAGATTCTAGTCATAAAACGTTACCTAACGTTCTCGCGCGTTTTTAGACGCCATTCGCCCAATAGGAGAGGCGTCAGATAGATCCACCACCATTTAGTAGACTAAGCGATTCTAGTCGCCGTATTCATTACGTATACGGAACATAATTATCACTATAGAATACTTAGCTACATCGCTCGCTCCTTCTCCTCGCCCACAAGACTCGTCTTATTCCTCGGGCAACTTATCTAATCTAGCTATTTCTATTTATATACGCGTATCGGTCTACGCGGGAGACTCTCGTAGTAACGACGAGGGGCGCTCTACTAGAGTATCCTTCTACGTAGCATCGGCGATAATATAAACCTACGGCGAAGTATCTAGCGGTATAGACTCAGACGACCGTTCTTCCTATTCCGATCGGATATTCCTTATTCTATAGTATTTAGAGTTTTAATCGATCGAGCTCGAAATTTCTAGCTACAGTTCGAACTCGACCGAGCCTAATCTTTCTTCCGGTGCCTATTACTAGTCCTAATTCGGGCTAACTTAACTAGCCACGGGCTATAAACTCTACTCTTCATTTATCTCTAATAAAAGATAATACTATACTTCGAGGAAATCAATTTAAGTACTAGGTCTTACTATCTATTCCTAATCAGCCGTTCGTAATAGTACGTTTATATCCTACTCTAGAGTTTCCTATAGCGGAATAGATAACTTAGGGGTTTATCGGCGCCGTTACGTACGGTTATATAGTTTGAATTTAGCGCTCTCTTATAGCGCCGCACTTTTAGTGCCTATAGTCCTAGAGGGGCCCGATATTATCTCCGATACCCTACGTCCTTCTAAAATTACTAGTGCTTTTTTAACTTCTTCCGATAAAGAAAGCTACGCTACTATTTCTACCGCTTTATTCTCTTATTCGCCTACGTACTCTTCTATATTAATATCTATCGAAGATTCTCCCCTAGCTATATTTTCCTCACCCCCTCCCCGCGGCTCCTCGTTTTCGGCATTAGTAAGACGAAGGATTTTATTTTCCTTACCCGTTAGTACCATAAAGTCGTAATCTTTAAATCTAGCGGCGAGGAGGTATTATTACCCCTTATACAAATTTATATCTAGGTATAGTAGTAAAGAGGCCATAGATATCAAATAGAACTCTCCTAGTAACTATAGGGGTTACATTAAGGATAGTTAGTCGTACGAGACCGTTAATACTTATAGTTCCGTAGAGGTATATCTTAACCTAATAGAAGGCGAGGGAGGTCTCGAGGGAATAAACCTAAATCTAGCGTAACTATCTTCTAATTCTTCATCGTCGCTAAAACCATAATCCCCCTTAATAATCTCGCCGTACTCTAGTTTATCGGCTTCGGCTAGTTCTATATAAAGAAGACCCTACTTATTTTAACTTATTATACCCCTACTTCTAACGAACCCAAGTTCTACCTCAGACGCTAGCTCCGCTACCTCTCCTATCCGGCTACCTTCCGAATTAATACGCGCGATTTCCTTACTATAATAAAGGTCGATACGTAAGGATCGGTATCTTCGCTACTATCGTTACTATTACCTCTATAGCTTCTTCGCTTACTTCTACTAACGTCTCCCTCGGCGTATATCTTTTAAGCGTTACCGCTCTAAGTTACTATCCTACCCGGCTCTTATACCTATAGACCCTACTCGTTCTCCTTTATCTTATAGCGAACGATTGCTCGGAATAAAAAGCGGGGACATTAGTAAGTCTAGAGTTAGAGATCTACCCGCTATATCGTTATTTTTATAGGGTATTAGTAGCTCGCCGAAGAAGGTAAAGTAGATACTCCTCCTTACTAAAGTAGAAGTAGCTTTTCGTTCCCTTTAGAGGGAATCACTATAGAGTTAGTCGATAAAAAGAAACTAATAATCTTATAGTTAGGCTTCGGTTTATAGATATCTATATCGAGATTCTTTCTTAGATTCCCTTCTACTAACGAATTATACTAGAAGCTTATAATTAAGAAGAACGGCCTTTAAAAAGCACTCGGTAACTTTATTAATTAGAGATTTAATTTCTTCCCTATTATACCGATAACGATCTAGTCGACGGGCTCTTAAAAGAGTATCTTACGCAATTTACCGATCTAGTAACTACTAGATAAGCTACTTAATTTATAGCGACTAAAACCTAAGTCTCTTTACGAGTATAGCTATCTTATATAGTATTATAGGCTCTACTACCTCATAATTAGGCTTCGCCGTAGGATTTTTCTTCTAAGGCTTTTTAGATAACTTCGGGTAATAACGTATAGCATAGAGCTATAGTTATCGATATCTAAGTTCCGCTAGGTCCCCCTAGGAGTACGAGTAAGATCGAAACCTAGCTTCGGATATTTATATTAAGAACTACATATAGGTAGGATTAAAAGATAAGAAGGCCGCACGCGTAGCGCCTCTAATTATAGGGAATAATCTAGAAGGTATAATAAGCCGTTTAATATAGTTCGTATATAATTCTAGGTACTAGAGATCTTTAAAAAATATATATAGAGATAGAATTATACCCTCTATCCTCTTTAATCGCTTCTAAATTAAGGTCCGCTCGGATTCTATAAAGTTTAAAAAGACTTCGCCACTATATATAAGACCTTTTACGGTGGTTCTATCCTTCGAGGACACTCTAGATACTAGGAGTTGTAATATTTCCACCGTATAAGGGTTAACTTTAAGTATCTTAGTACGATCGTATCCTATAAGTAAAGACTAGTATTGCCGTAGCCTAGTTAGCGCATAAACTATCTCCTATAAACGTAATTAGTATCTATATTTTTTAAGAGTTAGACGACCTTACCTTATCATAGTAGATAGCTAGAGCCTACGGAAGAGATCCGATTTATATTCTATATATTATTAAGGAGGGTAAGCCGAGTAATAAGTCAAAAGTAGCTCGGACGCTCGGATAAGACTTAAGTCCGCGAAGCCGCCTAGCTTTATTATCTAATAGCCGTACTAACTATCGATTTTCGAAGTATAAATTTGCTTTATATCGATATTACCGAACTTTTAGGTAAATCTTACTATCGCTTAGAACTCTCTCGTTAGAATATTCATCGATAAGGCTTATTTAAAGATCGGGACTAATGTCTTAGGGTTATTAAAACTATAGGAAAGTATATAATAGATTTCTAGCTTACCATCTAAATATAAGTCAATAGTCCACTATTAGTCGATCGATAGTAAATAGTATTCTCCGGCCTTTAATCGATATTAACTATAAAGGCACTATATAGAACTAGTAGAGAAATAGAGGTATAGGCAGCGGCTCGGTTAATTAGTCATTATATTAGCGGCGTTTACTCGCCCTACTTAAAGAGCCTTATAGAGATACTCTCTTAATATAATAGCGCTTACGTAGTTATATATATCGAGTCTTCGATAACCTTCTTTATTAAATACCTTATAGAGTCTTTCTATATTTTTTATATTCATATATTACGAGATAGATAGGTAGGGGGTAATCTAGCTAATATTAACCTTAGCTATTCCTTAGTAAGTCCGATACCTTTCTATTAAAATCTATAGCTTAGGATCTATATATATAGACTCGTCTATAGTGCTAGTAAGGTAGAATATACGTAGTAATAAAGTATCGGTTATTTATATTTAACTAGTCTTAGCCTTATAAAAGAAAGGGTCCACCTAGCTGATTTAGCGTCCTAGTAACTAATATAACTGTAAAAGCTAAGGGTAGCCCTTAAAATAAATTTAGTTCTATTAATACAATTACATTATAAATAGGCCTCTTCGCCTTTAAGCGCTATACATTTCCACCTTATTTCCTTTCTATATATCTTAATCTAGCCTAAATATATCGAAACAAGATAAGCACTATACGGCGATTAACTTTAAGAGCTACTAAGAACGGCTTACGAATAACCTATCACGAGAGGTACCCTTAAGTAAACAGCTATACTAGCTTAATATACCTACCCAATTAGATAGTAGTTCTAATAAAAAAAAGAGAAAAACGTCTCCCTAGAGCGAATATATACGAAAGGTTATAAGTAGAGGCCTAAAACTCTTTAGCTTACCTTAGGTATACGAGGAAGGTATATCTCGCGGGTTAATCATAAAGAAGGAATCACCCTAAGATACTTATCATCGGACACTTAGATATAGTCTAGTAGGTAAGGTATTTATTATAACTCGCTATTCCCGTCCGTCCTAGGTAGTAGCTATTTAAGAGTATACTAAAGGGGACGTGGCTAAAATACGACGGCTATATAATATCCTTAACCACAATAATATATTAACGGCCCGAGAGTACTTCGTAAATAAAGGATATATATACGCTCTCGTTAACGACCTCTAGCTTACTTTAGAGTAACTTATAAGATATCGGTCTCTCTATCCTATATAGGCGGAATTAGCTTCTATAACTTAGTAGGTATATAGCTCTTAATACTTCAAGTATTTTAAGCTTATAATAGTATAGATTTTAGATGGTTTATATTACCTCAATAAAACTAGATTAGAATACCAGTCTCTAATATACCGGAATATTCTTCTCGGCCTAGATAGCGTTATCAAGATCGGTAAGTAGCAATTGCCTCCTTTATAATAATTATTCTAACCCCCTATAACTAGCTTAGAGATATATATAGAACGTCCGCCGGGTTAGGCATAGAATATATATATCAAAACTCTCGCTTCTATCACCATAGAAATCATATAGAAGTATATAAAAGATAATAGAATAGTAGGAGTAGATAATATAGATCGGTAGCCTATCGACTTAGATACGTTTAGGTTCCTTTCCGCCCTCTCGATAATAAAGTCTATTAAATCTTTAAAAGAGGTACCTAAGCCAATATATCACAAGTAGACGAATATAAAACTAACATTTATCAACAACCGCTTATCTATAAAGAAAGTCGATTAGTAGGAGAGTTAATACTTCTTACTCGGTCTATTTTAGTCTCTATAAGGATATTCTATTCCTACGAGAGATAGTAGGAAATAATATCTTTTAAGGAATTATAAGTATTAGCTTACTTATAGTTTTCAAAGATTCTATTATATACCCATAACTTTCAATCATATCGGAAAGGCTATTAGTAAATTTATTAAGCGTATATCTAGACAATAAAATCTATCAGCTCGTATACTTTAGCAAAAAGCTATCGGTAAAGATCTAATCTTAAGTATAGAAGAAACTAAGAACCTAGAAATACTATATTTTCCCTAGTAGGTCCTTAAACGGCGGCTAGGCCCTAACTATTCAGAATATCACGGTATAAAACTAATAATTACTAGTTATAAGTAAAGGAGATCGTAGGCTTAGAATATCGTCTAAGAAATTAAGATAGGTATAAAGCGCCATTTCTAAAATAAGACGTAGCTACCGTATAAAGGACTTTATATATACTACGTAATTAACTCATAGTGACTACGTAATTGACTCATAACCGGCCCGTCGTAAGGCTATAGCCGACCGAAACCCTCTAATAGACCACGATCTTTATCACGAATTTATTAAAGAATTTAAAGGATAGGGACCGAGAAGGTAGTACCATCCGTAACTACTAGCTAACGCGCGTATCGAGAAGATAAGGATTAGTTATAGGATATAATCTAATAACGTTAGCTTAGGGGGTCATTTAGAGATAAATCTAAATTAGCAATTGCGACTTAGAAAAGGGCCCTCCCTCTAGGGCACGGTTCCCTACAGTCTAAGAGTAAGAGAGAGACAATAGTATTATGAAATAATATATTTAACTTAATACCTACTAGATATAATCATGGCCTTAGAATCTCTAGAGAAAGATTAGGTAGGAAGAAGCAATTCTAGATAGAGACTTAAGGTTAGGAACCACCTATATTTCTAGCTTATATAAATTTGCTTCATTCTCCATAGGCGCCTCTTAGATAATGTTTAGCTAGTCCTAGGAAAAGACGCTATTACCTCCAAGCATAAGTGTTAGAGCCTCTGGTCATGTGACCTATACGGCTGCCTATTTTGTCAGGCTAGTGGTTGATGTTTGCATGTTTGCATATCTACCCCACTCCATGTCTCCATAGCTACATCTCTCTCTATAGTTCTCTCTCTCTTCTCTTCTCTCCCCAGTTCTCCAGTTTCCAGTTTTAATCAATATTACTTCTCC